ACTGTAACAACTGTTGTGTCTACTCTTGTGTAAGAACTGTAACAACTGTTGTGTCTCCTCTTGTGTAAGAACTGCAGCAACTGTTGTGTCTCCTCTTGTGTAAGAACTGTAACAACTGTTGTGTCTCCTCTTGTGTAAGAACTGTAACAACTGTTGTGTCTCCTCTTGTGTAAGAACTGCAGCAACTGTTGTGTCTCCTCTTATGTAAGAACTGCAGCAACTGTTGTGTCTCCTCTTGTGTAAGAACTGTAACAACTGTTGTGTCTCCTCTTGTGTAAGAACTGCAGCAACTGTTGTGTCTACTCTTGTGTAAGAACTGTAACAACTGTTGTGTCTACTCTTGTGTAAGAACTGCAGCAACTGTTGTGTCTCCTCTTGTGTAAGAACTGCAGCAACTGTTGTGTCTACTCTTGTGTAAGAACTGCAGCAACTGTTGGGTCTCCTCTTGTGTAAGAACTGCAGCAACTGTTGTGTCTCCTCTTGTGTAAGAACTGTAACAACTGTTGTGTCTCCTCTTGTGTAAGAACTGCAGCAACTGTTGTGTCTCCTCTTGTGTAAGAACTGCAACAACTGTTGTCTCCTCTTGTGTAAGAACTGCAACAACTCTCTTGTGCGTGTTAGGAGTAGTGTGTGTGTGTGTGTGACTGGGTGATGATGGTGCTGACATTTATTTGTCTATCCCAGCATGCCGGCCTACACTAATGCACGTGAGGCTGAGGCCGTTCGGAGAGCCAAAATGGAGCTGCAGAGCCTGCAAATTCAGGCCTCTATGAAGAGACACAAAACCTCGGAGACTATTGGCGATCTGGTCTCATACGTGCAGAGCAATCTACACAGTGATCTCTTGATATATCCGGACAAAGTGAATCCGTTCAAGCCAAAGAAAGTGTGCACAATTTTATGAAGGGTCCAGCTGGTAACATGATGACGTTGCCTTCAGTGGACATTGTCCTGTTTGTGTTCACCTGTCATACGTACAGCCTTGCTAGAGAGCAGCCAGTTTACTGATGAACCTGTTGGCAGTAGATCTGACCATCTATCTGTCCCAGCTGTAGGCAGATAGATAGCCTTTCAGACCACTTGTAAAAACACATCTCCATAGTAGTCACACGTTGTATAGACTCTACATTCATTTACAGCTAAGTTAGTAGTCGGTATTTAGTAGAGTTGTAAGCACTGGATACTTTGTTGTAGATTAGAGTTGTGACCACTGTGCACTTTGTTGTAGATTAAAGTAGGGTAGACTCATGAGCACTGAGTACTTTTCTATAGAGTTGTAAGCACTGAATATTTTATTGTAGATTAGAGTTGTGAGCACTGTGCACTTACTTTTTTGTAGTTTAGAGTATGGTAGAGTTGTGAGCATTGGACACTTGGTTGTAGTTTAGAGTATGGTAGAGTTATGTTGTTTAGAGTATCGTAGAGTTGTGAGCATTGGACACTATTTTGTAGTTTAGAGTATGGTAGAGTTGTGAGTATTGGACACTTGGTTTTATTTTAAAGTATGGTAAAGTTGTGTTGTAGTTTAGAGTATGGTAGAGTAGTGAGCATTGGACACTTGGTTGTAGTTTAGAGTATGGTAGAGTTGTGTTATAGTATGGTAGAGTTGTGAGCATTGGACACTGTTGTAGTTTAGAGTATGGTAGAGTTTTATTGTAGTTTAGAGTATGATAGAGTTGTGAGCATTGGACACTGTTGTAGTTTAGAGTATGATAGAGTTGTATTGTAGTTTAGAGTATAATAGAGTTGTGAGCATTGGACACTGTTGTAGTTTAGAGTATGGTAGAGTTGTATTGTAGTTTAGAGTATAATAGAGTTGTGTTGTAGTTTAGAATATGGTAGAGTTGTGTTGTAGTTTAGAGTATAGTAGAGTTGTGAGTAATGGACACTGTATTGTAGTTTAGAGTGTGTTAGTGTTGTGGGAGGTGGACACTGTGTAGATAAGTCATGTAATTGTGTGTTGGTAGTGACCAGGTCTGTGCTGTGTGCTTAGCCAGCTGTAGAGAGCACGTCTGGCTGTCTTTGTGTGTCATTACCATCATTTTCTGCATGCATGACTTCTCATATTGTGCATCCAGGCACCGATAAGAAACCCTGCATTATATGTAGATAGAAACTGACAATCATCATACACTGAAAGCTCACTCACTCACTAGACTCTTACGACTCACTCACTAGACTCTTACGACCCACTCACTCACCAAACTGCATTTGAAAACACAGATTGACTGACTTGTTTTCTCTGCAAACATGCCCTACCTGACTGTATAAGTGCCTTAGAAAACAAAATCTGGCAGGATTGTTCTGTCTGCCTGCGTGCCCTACCTGACTGTATACCTGCCTTAGAAAATAAAATCCGGCAGACTTTTTATGTGTCTGCCTGCGTGCCCTACCTGACTATAAGTGCCTTAGAAAACAAAATCTGGCAGAATTGTTCTGTCTGCCTGCCCTACCTGACTATAAGTGCCTTAGAAAATAAAATCTGGCAGGATTGTTCTGCGTGCCCTACCTGACTGTATAAGTGCCTTAGAAAACCAAATCTGGCAGACTTTTTGTGTCTGCCTGCATGCCTGTAACAGTATGTCGGGGCAGCTATCTACACATCACCTCACACACACACGGATACCAATATTGATGTTTTGTTGTTTTTTAACTGCATTTTTCTACACACCATTGTTTTCATCCTTTTATGAATTTGATTCAAATAAAAAATGTATGTCATACAGTTGCAGCATTATGCGTATTTGTATTTTCGTACAGAAGTTGTATATATCTAGAACTTGCTGCCTATATCCATGTTCTTTAGTCAGTACATGCTATATCGCCCATACACATCTGTCGGTCTGTCCATCTGCATAGATCACGGGCCTGGTGCTCTTACCAGCAGTCACAGATGGTAGTCCAAAATTGTGTTGCTAGTCCAAGCAATCTTTGGAAGCTGCATCCAAGATCAGTTGGTCTTGTGGTCATATCTTCTCAAAAGTGTCTTGCCAGGACAAGCTGGCCTAAAATGGCAGATGTGGGAAGTAAAGAAGGTAAATGTGATGTTGATCATGTGAAACATCAAGCACCAATTGTAAGAAAATATAGGCCATATGTTGAATACACCTGGGGAGTGAATCCGGCTTCTTCACTCTGACTGTGCCTATAGTGATCCTCAACAAGGCAGTGCTTAACCCCACATCTGGTCTAGCCAAGCAGCATAGCTCCAGTTGTTCAGGCAAACAGGCACACACACAAACTGCCATCTCATGCAAATAGATGTTGCCATCTAGCAGAATCATTGTCGTCCAGACATTTGGAGATTGTGATCAATTGTCAGTAGAACTCTGTTGTTGCTAGCCCCTTTACATTCCATTGTTCTGTTCTCTGGGTCTGTCATCTGTTACCACAGCAGTCTCAGTCTGCTCTGTCTGTGGCTGCAAGCCATTAAAAGAATTTGCTGGACGGACCACACATGTGTATAAAGAGGCTTGATCTATAGGATGTCATCTGTAGATCTTTCTGGCACCACAAGATCTATAGACTGACATCTGTAAGACTTTCTCATGCCACAAGATCTATAGACTGACATCCGTAAGACTTCCTGGCGCCACAAGATCTATAGACTAACATGTGTAAGTCTTCCTGGTGCCACATAATCAATATCATGTGAAAGTCTGCAGCTGTTCTCTTGTGCTCTGTTGAACTGTGTGTGACTTCCTGTATTTGTTGGAGATGTTTGTAACAGTTCTCATTTGTTTCTCAATTTAGGTTGAGTACTTGCAGTCGACATTGAAGGTAAGCTGTATGTACGTTGTGCTCACTACTTGTTTGTTGTCTTTTGGAACTAGGCAGACAATCTCACTATCTGACACGCCCTGTGATACGATCAAGCAATATTTGTCAGACATACAGAAAGTCGACTTGCTACAGGTCTGGACAGATCTGTGCTAGCTGGCAACTATTATGCATGTAAAGGACCGTTACTCGCGCATTAGACCTATATTTTATAGACCAAAATGGGTGATAAGGTCAGCATCACGCTGGCTGCCTTTACTTCCTGAGACTTTTACCTGGCACATATTTAGGCTGGGCGAAACACGGGAGCTTAAAAAAAAAAGTCCGGCACCTTCCAGGTGTGAACCCATGACCTTTGGATCTGCAGACTTCCCTATTATGAATGTGAGAAACTGTAATTGTATTAACAGTTCTGACTACTGTCGTGTGTTTGTGTGTAGCAAAGTGTGTGCTCAGAATCAGATTGCATACCACTTCTCCACAGCGATTAAACAAATTGCGCGTTTGAAAGTTCCCCACGCACGTGCAACACGTGCACTCCACAGTGATTCCCTTTTGTGAGGGCAGGCTGTGTTATTGTGTCCTTCACCTTAGTCAGAACTGAGTACGCACTGACAGTGATCAGCTGTGTTTCTAGCTCGGTTTGAGCTTACCTATATACAACTAACAGAGACTAGCTGCTAACGTCACAGCTGCCACCGACTTGTCTCTTGTAGACCTAGCTTTCTGCATCAGGTGAGTAATCAGCTGGCAAACCCGCCAGACTTAACCGAGACGTTTTGTGTGAGACAGATGACCAGTCATCAGTGATTTGAGTCCGCTGTGACAGATTTGTGAATGACGCGGGTTTCACCACTGGAGTGTGTGCCAGCATGGGCTGATTGTATATACTAGGAACACACAGAACTGGGTAGTGGAGTACACAGTGATGTCTGTCTACAGTAGGGGATAGAGCATTGTATTTGTTTTGTGTACAAACAGCTGTATTGTGGGTTGACCAGCTGTGACGTGTGCTGTATTGTGGGTTGACCAGCTGTGACGTGTGCTGTATTGTGGGTTGACCAGCTGTGACGTGAGCTGTATTGTGGGTTGACCAGCTGTGACGTGTGCTGTATTGTGGGTTGACCAGCTGTGACGTGTGCTGTATTGTGGGTTGACCAGCTGTGACGTGTGCTGTATTGTGGGTTGACCAGCTGTGACTTGTGTCCACAGCCCCGGCCATGAACAAGTTCCAGGAAGGCCTGCAGCAGCAGCGGCGACTCATTGAGCAGCTGCGCTGTGAGGCCCAGATCACCAGATTCCGCGTGTCCCAGTGCATCGATGACCTGCAGAAGTACTGCGATGCTCATATCGAAGAGGACTATCTGATTCGGGGATTTAGCAAACCCAGCGAGAACCCATTTAAAGAAAAGGGCAGCTGTTCTATATTCTAGCCAACACGTCAGGGGCAGCGTCTTTCTGCCACATGGTGTAGCACTATTTCCTTTGATGTCTCTTCAATGTCAGCTTTTTCTTTCGTTTCATCACGCCTTAAGGGGCAATACTTAGAACTGACGTTGTTCATGTGGGCACCAGCGGCTAGTCACCTGCAATTTGTTTGTGTGTGTCTGGGGGAGGGGGGTAGTAGGGGATTATCATCATCTCTCGCACCCCACTAACCAGTAACTCATCTAGTCGGTGGCATCTTTTTATTTTAATGAGTGGTTTAAAAGCAAAATGCAGCAGTCACACAAATAACACGACAAAGACATTCGTCACAAACAACCTAGCTGCTGTCACTAGCACAAACTATGCCAGCAAGCAGTTGCCTCCCATGTTCACCAGTCTTCATGCACTAGCCAGACTCCTTGCGTGTCTGCCTACACAGCGTGCTGGCCGCTATATGGCTGATGAGTCTTTTAAGTGTCGACCGTCGCACCCTGTGTGTGAATGATTCGCTGCCATTACGGGGGAAGGAATCCAATAAAATTTTCACAGATCCCAGAGTTGTGTTGTTATTTCTTTCGCTCCAATCTCAATACACACGACAATATGTTTGTGCTGTGTCATCTCTCTCTCTCCCCATGTGTAGGGCAAGACAATCATCCGAATGGTCTAATACTTTCCTTACTAATCACAAAACTAATACAGCCACAGAGATAGGATACATCCAGTGAGCAGAACGTCAATGTAGAGACACTGAAGCTATACCAGCAGGTGTGCAAAGGACAACTGGACATACTGCCATCAGCATTTAAAAAAAAAAAAAATACCACCAAAAAGTTGTCTCGGCTTTCAGTAAGGGCACAATCCTGCAACCAGTGACGGTGAACTTTGAAAGTAGGATCACAAATGATGCAGCTAATAGATTCAATCCTTACTGATTACACAGCAAGAGTGTGTGTTGAGAGTTGTAGCCAGGAGACAACCGAATACTGCCAGCTGGATGTGTTGCAGGTCACTCAGCACAGAGACAACTCTTGAAATCTGCAGCATAAACATCGGAGCTGTTTTTCACGGAGATGCCAAAGAGGTTCCGTAAACTACTGTGCAACTCTGAAGACAGTCTCAGATGAGACAAATTTCTGTTGTCAAGAACAATTTGTCTCCCCCCCCCCCCCCCCCCCCCCCAAATTCTTAATCGATGAGAGACATTTCTGATAAGAAGAACCATTTTGTTTGTCCCTAGTGAGTTCTCCTTGCAAGGTCTACAAAACAGTTTGTGTGGGAACTGTGGTGTAGCAGCTAGACATCCTGTGGATCAGTAGGTCATGGGTTTGAGTCTTAGCAACGATCTAGACTACAAGGTTGAGCCAGTGATGGCAGCCACTGAGTGCCCATTGGTCTCTCTACAATACAGGTTTAGCCAGAAAGCATAGAAACAGGTTCTTTACCAACAGTGAAAGACATGGGAGAAAATACACATGAGAGTGGGGGGTGATGGCAGATGTTGGTCGACAGATCAAACATGTGGCTAGCAGATAAAAGCAATTGATGTGGTTTATTTATATAGATAGGCAGTTCAGTGTCAAGAGGGACAAGTTGTGCTCAGGGTTTCTTAGCAAAAGTTAATGGTCGACATTTGGTGCAGGAGAGCCTAGCAAATGATACCACAACGCCAAGCTTAAAAATGGAGGAGACGGCAATCACTGCAGCTTTCAGCTGGTCAGAGAGCACCACACACACACTGTATTTATAACTGACTCAGAAAGCATGCTGAGGAAGGTGAGACAGGCATGCTTCGCTTCGCAGGTCACGGGTCAGGTTCACTGGATCTTTCGGGGGAGGGCATGTGGACAGATTGGCTAGCTTTGCACAACTTGGTGGGATACTGATGCATAATAAGGCAAACATGATCAAGGCCTTATGGGAGAATTTGCATTATTCGGAGGAGCAAAAGGCTCAAAGGAAAGACCAGATGCCAATATAATCGAACTGCTCCTGCACCATTAGTATTGGAAATCTGTGCTGGGAGTGCTGTGCTATCAACACTGTTGATCTGCCTCATTTATTCAATCCTGGGTTTTAGAAATGTTTTCTCAAATATTGTCCTTGAATCTATGTGCATACCTCTCAGACAATAGCAACTGCACATAACATAATAAACAATTCCTTGTCTTACAGCTCATGTTTCTTCTGTTAGGGACTGTTGTCAAGAGATCTTGTTGGCAAACACTTATTCTCACTCCCAGACCACTTGCTCTCTTTGTCTACATGCCTGCTACCATTAGCGTCAACTGTTTTGCTTGTGGCTATACCAGACACTTGGACATCTGAAACCACCAAAGCTCTAACTGCACTATCTCTCATTCTGTATCACTGTTGCTAAGGGCCAAACACAGTCTACACTGGCCTGCCTCATTCACGTCAACCAGGCCACCATCACATTTCTTTGTTTTAGATCCACTCAATTCACTTCCAACGCTGGAAATTCTGGAGTTGATTAAAATGTGACCTGAGGCAGCAGTGAAAAGAAGCAATCTGTCTCCATCCGAGAGACTGACATTATCAACACTGGGTACACAACTGTGTGTCTGACATAACAAACCTGGCCACTGCAACCGTTTCACACAACTGTGTGTCTGACATAACAAACCTGGCCACTGCAACCGTTTTACACAACTGTGTGTCTGACATAACAAACCTGGCCACTGCAACAGTTTCACACAACTGTGTGTCTGACATAACAAACCTGGCCACTGCAACCGTTTTACACAACTGTGTGTCTGACATAACAAACCTGGCCACTGCAACCGTTTCACACAACTGTGTGTCTGACATAACAAACCTGGCCACTGCAACCGTTTCACACAACTGTGTGTGTCTGGTGTCCAGACCTTGAGCCCTAGCCTCCAGTAATCAGATCGTGCACAATGGTGTCCAGCTTGTCAGTAAACGTGATAAAAGAAAACATGGTCTTCACCCGGGATCTCCCTGCCTTCCCAAACAACTTCCCTAATGCAGGATCTTCCACAAACTTCAGCATTGCCTGTGCTACTTCCCTGGGGTCATTGTTACACAGAAAGCCAGTAGAACCATCAGCAACTGTCTCCAGTGGGCCGCCACTTCGCATGGCGATTACTGGACATTGCATATACATGGCTTCAATGGGAACTATTCCAAAATGTTCTCTTTCTGGCGTGTACAACAAACAGGAACTGTGTTTGAGCAATGTTCTTTTCTGTTCATCGCTAAGAGATCGCAGAAAGGTCACCCTGTTCTCTAGTCCCAGTTGTTTTGCTAGCGAGACCAGTTCTGCATGGTATTGAACATTTTCTTCCACACGTGTGTCGTAACCACCGGCAATGATCAGGTGCACATCAGCATCTGGTTTCTGTTCCAGCAACGCACCTGCAGAAACAGATACAAGCATTAGTTGGGCAGAAATCTGTGTGGGTGATTGTTACATAGACCATACTGACAAACAGAAGCTTTAGTTGGGCAGACATCTGTGTGGGTGATTGTTACATAGACCATACTGACAGATACAAGCATTAGTTGGGCAGACATCTGTGTGGGTGATTGTTACATAGACCATACTGACAGATACAAGCATTAGTTGGGCAGACATCTGTGTGGGTGATTGTTACATAGACCATACTGACAGACATTGTTCATGTATGCTACAGTCTGGCATCATCGTTCATATACACTACAGTCTGGCATCATCGTTCATATACACTACAGTCTGGCATCATTGTTCATATACGCTACAGTCTGGCATCATTGTTCATGTGTGCTACAGTCTGGCATCATTGTTCATGTGTGCTACAGTCTTGCATTATTGTTCATGTACGCTACAGTCTGGCATTATTGTTCATGTGTGCTACAGTGTGGCATTATTGTTCATGTACGCTACAGTCTGGCATAATTGTTCATGTACGCTACAGTCTGGCATAATTGTTCGTGTACGCTACAGTCTAGCATCATTGTTCATGTACGCTACAGTCTGGCATTATTGTTCATGTACGCTACAGTCTAGCATAATTGTTCATGTACACTACAGTCTGGCATTATTGTTCATGTACGCTACAGTCTAGCATAATTGTTCGTGTACGCTACAGTCTGGCATAATTGTTCGTGTACGCTAGTCTAGCATCATTGTTCATGTACGCTACAGTCTGGCATCATTGTTCATGTACGCTACAGTCTGGCATCATTGTTCATGTACGCTACAGTCTGGCATCATTGTTCATGTACACTGCAGTCTGGCATCATTGTTCATGTACGCTACAGTCTGGCATCATTGTTCATGTACGCTACAGTCTGGCATCATTGTTCATGTACGCTACAGTTTGGCATCATTGTTCATGTACGCTACAGTCTGGCATCATTGAATTGTCAGCAGTAACTAAGATTTCACTTTCACTTTGGTGGTGGGAACTAAAAATGGAACCTCACTGAGCACATCCATAACTTCCTACAGGTTTCCCCAATAGATGATGACATAAATAACACGGATACTTCACAAGTCAATGCTTCCCTAACCTGAAATAAACCCTTCTGGAAGGAAACCAACAGGGTCTTGATTAGAAATTGACATTTTTTGTCTAGTTCAGGAGCATCTGGAAGTATCGAAAGACTGCTGCGTGGATCAGGGGGATTTCTAAATGTTATTATAGGGGATTTCCAAATGCTATTATAGGGGATTCTAAATGCTATTATAGGGGATTTCTAAATGCTATTATAGGGGATTTCCAAATGTTATTATAGGGGATTTCCAAATGTTATTATAGGGGATTTCCAAATGCTATTATAGGGGATTTCTAAATGCTATTATAGGGGATTTCTAAATGCTATTATAGGGGATTTCTAAATGCTATTATAGGGGATTTCTAAATGCTATTATAGGGGATTTCTAAATGCTATTATAGGGGATTTCTAAATGTTATTATAGGGGATTTCCAAATGTTATTATAGGGAATTTCCAAATGTTATTATAGGGGATTCTAAATGCTATTATAGGGGATTTCTAAATGTTATTATACGGGATTTCTAAATGCTATTATAGGGGATTTCCAAATGCTATTATAGGGGATTTCCAAATGCTATTATAGGGGATTTCCAAATGCTATTATAGGGGATTTCTAAATGCTATTATAAGGGATTTCTAAATGCTATTATAGGGGATTTCTAAATGTTATTATACGGGATTTCTAAATGCTATTATAGGGGATTTCCAAATGCTATTATAGGGGATTTCCAAATGCTATTATAGGGGATTTCCAAATGCTATTATAAGGGATTTCTAAATGCTATTATGGGGATTTCCAAATGCTATTTATTATAGGGGATTTCTAAATGCTATTATAGGGGATTCTAAATGTTATTATAGGGGATTTCTAAATGTTATTATAGGGGATTCTAAATGCTATTATAGGGGATTCTAAATGTTATTATAGGGGATTCTAAATGTTATTATAGGGGATTTCTAAATGTTATTATAGGGGATTCTAAATGTTATTATAGGGGATTTCTAAATGCTATTATAGGGGATTTCCAAATCTATTATAGAGGATTCTAAATGTTATTATAGGGGATTTCTAAATGCTATTATAGGGGATTCTAAATGTTATTATAGGGGATTTCTAAATGCTATTAAAGGGGATTTCTAAATGCTATTATAGGGGATGGGTGAAAAAGGACTTATGTTCTAAGACGGGGAAAAGGACATAAGAAGGAAGTGAAAAGAAGTAGCTGGCATACTTACTAAGAGCATGTATAGCAAGCTGGATATTTTTCTTGCGCTCATATCTGTTGATGGAGAGAAACACTGTACCCACTTGTGATGGCAATAGTTCTGGGGTCACAGATTCTGTAGGCTTGTCAAACGATGAGAAGTCTGGGATGGGATATAGAACTTCAGGGGTGACATGCCGCAGGCTCTTGAATGTTTCACTGAACACACTGGCTGCAAATGACGGAATCAACTGTTATAGGTGATTGTAACTTTAGACGAACTTATTTAGAAACCACACCAATGCATTATGGGACAATAAGCACGTGCTCTTTTTCCTTCTTCTTCTGCCTTTCAACCCCCATTGGAGCATAGGCCTTCAACTGACACCAAGTCCTTTGCTACTGCATGCAGCTCACCCCATGTACTTTAAAAGATTGTTAACTTTCCTAATTTCCTCTTTAGATGGTATCTAACAGTTGATACCCAGTTCCATTTCAAAAGGTTGGATATATGGCCCTGGTCTATTCAGAAGTACTGCAACATTTTCAGCTCATCTGTCCATTTGATCTTTATTGTTGGTGAGTACCTCTCATTGACAAAGCTGACATTGAACAAATTCACTAAGATCTTGGAAAAAGACGATGGTTTTATAACATCTGCTGAAATTTCTATAAATAGCTAAACAAATTCAAGATGGCCACCATGATCAAGTAAAATGTATATATATTTTTTCCACGTAGAGCATCCAATCATAATGGTTTCTCTGAAGGTTTCAAAATCATATGCTTTTTTAAAATGAGTTTTATTTTTAAAATTTATAATTGTTAAGCAGCCTTGGTAATGGAAGACTAATGCACCGGATTGGTGTTCACCACAGCTCCAACAACAAAAGCTTAAAGAAAAGTATCTCAAAAGTGCCAGGCAGCAGATCAAACAGAACAACAACAAAAGTATCTCAAAGCTAACAGATCAAACAGAACAACAGCAAAAGTATCTCAAAGCTAACAGATCAAACAGAACAACAACAAAAGTATCTCAAAGCTAACAGATCAAACAGAACAACAGCAAAAGTATCTCAAAGCTAACAGATCAAACAGCACAACAACAAAAGTATCTCAAAGCTAACAGATTAAACAGAACAACAACAAAAGTATCTCAAAGCTAACAGAACAACAGCAAAAGTATCTGAAAGCTAACAGATCAAACAGAACAACAGCAAAAGTATCTCAAAGCTAACAGATCAAACAGCACAACAACAAAAGTATCTCAAAGCTAACAGATCAAACAAAATAACAACAAAAGTATCTTAAAGCTAACAGATCAAACAGAACAACAACAAAAGTATCTCAAAGCTAACAGATCAAACAGAACAACAACAAAAGTATCTCACAGCTAACAGATCAAACAGAACAACAACAAAAGTATCTCAAAGCTAACAGATCAAACAGAACAACAGCAAAAGTATCTCAAAGCTAACAGATCAAACAAAATAACAACAAAAGTATCTCAAAGCTAACAGATCAAACAAAATAACAACAAAAGTATCTCAAAGCTAACAGATCAAACAGAACAACAACAAAAGTATCTCAAAGCTAACAGATCAAACAGCATAACAACAAAATGCTATCCTCCGAACTTCGGGCACTAAAGATGGCGGCCGCAAAATATCCGTTCGAGCCGCAGTCACGTGACTTAATTTGCGATTCTTCTGTGGTTTTCCAGCGACTACCGCCACCGCCACGAGTCCCTCACGCTGCTCATGCATCGTGGATTGGGGCTAAACTAGATGGCTAGGGCTCACAAGCAAAGCTTCAGGAGATGCGGAAGCTGCTCGTGGTGGTGGTGGTAGTCGCCGGAGAACCGCAAATTAAGTCGCCGGAAGTGCGCAAGTGACACATGATTGTGGCTCAAAAGGATATTTTGCGGCCGCCATCTTTAGTGCCCAAAGTTCGGAGGGTAGCCCAATAAAAGTATCTCCAAGCTAGAAGATCAAACAGCACAACAACAAAGGTATCTCCAAGCTAGCAGATCAAACAGCAGAACAACAAAGGTATCTCCAAGCTAGCAGATCAAACAGCACAACAACAAAGGTATCTCCAAGCTAGCAGATCAAACAGCAGAACAACAAAGGTATCTCCAAGCTAGAAGATCAAACAACACAACAACAAAGGTATCTCCAAGCTAGCATATCAAACAGCACAAAAACAAAGGTATCTCCAAGCTAGAAGATCAAACAACACTGGCTAGAAGGGAGTTTACCTGTAAACTTGCTGTTGACCAGAATACAATCAGCCATGCCTGTGGTCTTTTCCTCCAGGTAGTCAATTGGTGCACGGTAAACTCGCTTCCAGAAACTCCTCCTCTGCGTCAGCAACATGTCTGGGAAATGACAATAAAAGATCACTTTGGCGGGGGACAGTTTTAACACAGGGATACAAGCTGAGATCTGGTCGCAGAAAACCACATCAAAGCGAATTCCGCTGAAGAAAACCAAATACACGGCGGCATAGATCATCCGCAGGTAGGCACAGGCGGCAAAGAACCTGCCGAAGAGTTGCCGGGGCAACCAGTCGCCGACAACGGTCACTTTCAAAGTTCCGTCTTTGGTTTCCTGGAAGCTGTGGCCGGGGTCGTGATGAGAGGTGACAAACTCCACCTGATGTCCCCGCGACTTCAGCGCCAGCGCTGCGTCAACCACAGCTCTCTCCGCCCCTCCGATACCCAGGTCAGGGTGGATGAACACGACTTTGCCCATGTCGGGCAGTCAGCAGCGATTATGCTGGACAGCGACCGTCAGACCCAACACAAATTTACCAGGAACGGAGCCAGGTCGTCGTGATGTGGCAGGAACCTGATGCAAACATTTGTCTGTCTGCGTCTCGGGCAAAAACGAAAGCGGAAGTTGTTGTCATCCGACATTGCCAGGACCCTGTAGCTGTTGTAGATCAAACATTGTTTCGTTGCATTTGTCATTCTATGATCCCTTCTACTTCTCTTTCTCGTCGAGATACCCCGTCGAAGTGTTCGGTAAGATTTAATTTATTGTATAATTAGATGTACATTTCTTGAATTCGTTGTTCCCTCGCCGTCATGATTATTTCCTTGCTCTCTGTTGATTATATTTCTTCGGCGTGGCAGTTAGTAGCAAGATATTCTCGTCACATGGCCGAACATTCTCATCACTTCACAGCAGCTTATGTCTTAAAATGGGAAACAAACGTAACGAGCAAACTAGGAACAAATGGAATGAGCAAACGAGGTCGTCTAAAAGAAACTGTGAGGTCAACATTGTTGAGAGTGCTGAACTAGATTGCATCCAGGATATCCAACGGATTCAACATGACATAACAGAATAGAGGAACAGGCGTGGAAACGGCAACACATGGTGCTGATGCTCGGCTGCAGTCTGTCTGCACAACTGGCCGAAGGCTGCTAACACTGAAATATAAAACACACGGAAAACACAATACCAACCTAATGTAACAATTTTACTTGTGTATAGCCAACTTATTGTGACCGACTACCTCCATTAGCGGCAAACTGCATTTCTGGTGGCGACTGTTGGCTTTTGTACACATGTCATGCATACATACACATACACATGTACATGCATACACACACATAAACATGTACATACATACACACACATGTATACACACACATACACATGTACATGCATACACACACATACACATGTACATACATACACATATGTACATACATACACACACATACATATGTCATGCATACACACATACACATGTACATGCATACACACACATACACACATGTACATGCATACACACACATACACATGTACATAAAGACATAGAAAGAGGAAGTAGGAAAAGAAGAAGAAACATTTACAAAAACAACTGTGTCAGCATCTTTAGTTTGAGAGGTTATGAACGCAGTTTCTTCAGTCCAAACTTCTCGGTCTGAAAGCCGCAAGCGTTTTAGTAACAGGCTGTGTTGTGCCGATTTCAATAGTCCCGTGAGAGCCGATCATTTCTGAAGCATTGACATTGCTGTTCACTATAAACGTTTGTCTAGCGATGTTTAACCCTGATCCTAGCTACAGAATCTCTGTGGGTTTTCTCCGTGTGGTAAACATTGCAGCCTGAATGACAACCTCAATAATGGGATCTTTTCTAGTCTGTTCCTAGCTGCATATTTACAGCTGACTGATTCCTGATAAGTGCGTGACTCCACGGGACAGCAAGCACAACAGGAGACATATGATGGTCACAAATATTTTGCTTCCGTCAAATGTTTCTGATTCTGGACTGGTACCTTCTTGAAACTCGAGGGCAGACCAACCCTAGTCACCACTCTATGGGATCTTTCTCCTGTTATGCCTTTAAGCTGCTTTGCTGAACCAAGTTCGCCATGGAAGACACTTGTCTGTAAAATGCGTCTTTGTGTGTGACTGTCTGCCCACAAGTCCTGAAACCTGAGGAAAACGAGCGTTGTGTCTCGATGCCTCGCCAGATGGTTCTGCGAGTTCTGCCTGAGTGCCGGGATCAATAGGGCAGCTTCTTTCTCCCGGTACTTTCAACCTCCGTCATCAAATAGACGTTGTTGCTGCCGCGCAAGTGTGTTTGTGTGTGTGTGTGTGTGCGCGCGCCATTACACACATGTATGAAAGGTACAATCAACTTTGATGGTGTAACATCGGAGGAGTTTGTAATAAAAAATGGAGTTAAGCAGGGGTGCGTACTTGCTCCTACCCTCTTTGGAATATTCTTTTCACTTCTCTTGACACATGCCTCTCGAGATCAGGAGGGTGGTATTTTCATTCATTCTCGATCTGACGGCAGCCTTTACAATGCTCGCAGGCTGAAGGCCAAAACCCCGATAAGAAAGGTACTTTACTCATCAGAGAGCTGTGTCAAGGACCTGATATCTATATTATTGAACTAGGGCTCGTTGTACGGCCCTGTGACAGACAGACTATACCAAAACACACTCAACACATACACAAATGAAGAACACATCATCTTTAATGACCAAAGAACAATATAGCCTAAAACAACCTCTACAGTTATGGACAGTCCCCTAATCCGGAACTCTCGGGCAGTGGCGGCAGTTATATTTACATATCCACCCCGGGCCATTCCCATGGATGAACCAAAGGACACGATTCCACCTCCTGTAGTGCAGCGCCAACTAGGCTACGATCTTCGCCATGCGAGACTCAAGGGCACACGCAGGGTGAGTGGTTCAAGTATTAGCGGACAACGACGACAGCATAAGACGCAGATAACCCCCAAAAATCCAGGGACAAGAACACCTACCTAAACATGGTACAACCCCAACACAACTGTCTTAGCATACTATCAGCACACGAGGAATAACAACAGCTAACCAACACATACGACGACAGCGTTAACACTACACAACCTATCTGTCAATTCCTAACAAAAAAATACAATCACGTCTCTCAAAATGTCCTCATCCTCGCACGTCCCTTTTCTCTGCCCGTTCAGCTCCGGTTCAAACGTGTACGTTGCACCAGTGTTCACGCATCCCGGGTTTTCCCCGTATCATCAAATCAACTGGCTGAGCGCTGGTGCACATTTCTGGTCCGTCAAACACTAACATGTAGTTACACGACGTATTGTCTATACTCTGTCCCACAGGGCTATGACAAGCTGCTGTTTGCAGATGATGCCGCAATAACCACCCACTCAGAGGAGGAGCTGCAATGTTTAATATCTGCCTTTGCTGGTGCGTTCTGTGAATTTGGACTAACAGTCAGCAAAAAAGAAGACAAAGGTTGTGATGCAAGGTGTTAATGACAGACCTACAGTCCACATTGACGGTGGAGAACTTGAGACAGTAGACCATTTTACCTATCTGGGTTCCACAGTGAATAGTAAACTATCGCGGTACCAAGAAATAAACACCAGGATAGGTAAGGCAGCAACAACACTGAGTAGATTGACAAATAGAGTATGGGGAAACAGAAAGCTCACAATTAAAACCAAAACTCTTGTCTGTCAGGCTTGTGTTCGCCGCACTCTGCTTTATGGCAGTGAAACTTGGTCAACCTATTTGCACCAGGAGAGAGAGCTAAATAGCTTTCACATGCGATGCCTAAGAAGAATACTTGGCATTAAGTGGCAGGACAGAATCACAAACACTGAGGTACTGGAAAGAGCAGGTATTACAACAGTCTTTTCCATGCTCAGTCTACGAAGACTCAGGTGGCTGGGTCACACCTGGAGGATGACAGAGTCCCTAAAGACATCCTTTATGGTGAATTAAAGACAGGAAGAAGATGTCGAGGCCGACCTCTACTACGGTATAAACATGTGTGCAAGCGGGACATGCATGATACACGCACTGAGGTGGACTCATGGGAACAAAATGCCATGGACCGTTTTGTGCAGAAAGGGCATTACAGGAAGAGAATGAGACTGAAGGAGGAAAAGATTGCAGAAAGGATGAGAACTGAGCATCTAAAAAGAAAACTGATTAAACACAAATATTGACAACAATGGGCCTGAAATCCCATGCTATCATTGTGGAAGACTTTTCTTGACACGGGCGGGTCTTGCTAGTTACACTCGCCATCTCCATGGGCTGTGAGTCCAATGCCTCCTCATAGCGCAATACAACACTATCGTCTAAAAAGACCAAAAGGTGCCAAATCAATCGTGTATGTATCTATGCGTGTATGCGTGCGCGCCCGCGCGCGTGTGTGCGTGTGTGTGTGTCTGCAAGCACGCTTTGTTGTTGCTGTGTGTGCAAGTCTGAAGATGACATCGGGAACTGGGAGTTTTCACTTTTTGTTTTATACCGTTGTTTTTTTAAATTAGAAATTCACAACCACTAAAATATTCTAAATGTGTTTGAAGTTCAGCAATTCAACAGCTGAGATTGTATGTCTTTATTCACACAGACGATACTTCTAATGATTATTGTGACATCATTATCATCATTCTCGGGGTTTCGTGGAAGTCACACGTAGAAACGATACAGTGGAACCCATTATAAAAACATACAACGATGACTGACGGAAATACCACAGGGGACGCAAACTCCAGAATCGTGAAATAAGTGTTTACTGGAGCAGTTAGGCCAGTCATGGAATATACTTCTACTAAATGGGCTACAGCAGCCCGGACAACAAAGGGAAAACTGGACAAGGTTCAGAATATGGGACTAAGGATTGTTCTTGGAGCTATGAAAACCACCCCCGTTAGAGAGATAGACAGAATAGCAGATACTGAACTTCAAGACAATATAAAACTCTTCTACAGAACGAGCTGAGTTGAGTTGAGTCAAGAATTGACATCACAGCACTCGGGCATTTCCATGCGTGCTCCGTCCTCATCTTCAGCAGCCAGCGCAGAGTTCAGGCCAGAGAAGAGTACTAAAGGAACCGGTCACAATCTGGTTAAAAGTCCGTCTTGCCTTTCCTCTGAGTGTAGTCAGCCGGCCAGACTTTCTGGTTACACCTCATTCTCTCCAGAGAATCTGGTTTCTCTACTGATTCCATTGCTTGTTCTCAAAGGGCCTTGACCACATCTGCCTTGTCATGTATCAATTTACCACCCAGTGGTGCAGATCCAGCCAATCTGTCTGCCTGTTCATTACCCACTACGCCTGGAGAAAAGATCCAAAGTATGCTCACTACTAGTGACCTTCCCAGCGAAGCTTGCCACTCTGCTCGAAGCATGATGTCTCTTGTGCATCCCAGGATCACCCGCATAGCTTCAATATGTATGCGCACCAGTTTTTCTGACTCTTTGAAACAGTGAGTAACCCCAATCTATAATCAATCACTGAGATGATTAAATGCTAGTGAAGTGCGAACAGCATTCTCTGCTCTATGTCCATCGCTGCCATAATCTTTGGTGCATTAAGAACTTTTTTGAGCCTTTGTCACAAGCCCCTCTATGTGAGCCCGTGTCACAATCCCCTCTATGTGAGCCTTTGTCACAAGCCCCTCTATGTGAGCCCGTGTCACAAGCCCCTCTATGTGAGCCTGTGTCACAAGCCCCTCTATGTGATCCTTTGTCACAACCCCCTCTATGTGATCCTTTGTCACCACCCCCTCTATGTGAGCCTTTGTCACAACCCCCTCTATGTGATCCTTAAAAGACAAACTTCTGTCAAAGGTGATACCCAGGTACCGGTCTCTTTTGATGTCCCTGCCATTTACTTTGAGTCTGGAAACAATCCTGTTGTGCAAAGAACACCACAGGACAGTTGCGTTTTCTGGGTTGATTACAGCACTTATCTCTGTACAACAGTCGATCGCCTTATCTACTGTCGCCTGTAACTCTTGAGCTATTTGATCCTGATCGCTCCCCTTCCTATATACGAGAACATCATCTGCAAATGTCAATGTTCTGCCAACTCCAGGTGTTTCCAGGTATGTAATCTTGCTCGTAAAAACATAGACAAGCACAGGTGAAATCGCAGATCCCTGTGGTAGTCCTGGAGCTATAATACATGGTTCTGAGGTCCATGAACCCAGACGGAGAGCTACCCGGCGAGTATACAAAAGGGTTGCTATCCAATTCACCAACCAAGGACAGACTCCATTCTCCATAATCGCTTTCATCAAGATACTGTATCTGCTGACTCTGTTGTAATCGTCTTCTAAATCAAGTGCCGCTGTGACCGTTTCCTATCTGTCCTGGAAACCTTCAAAGGCGTCAAAGGCAAAAGTGGCTGCATTTGACCATGTGTCCTTCCCTGGCCGGTAACTTCCCAAACCTCCTGGAAGGATCTTTCTCTGTTCCAACAATTCTAGTAGCTTACCCGCCACTATCTTATCTAACACTTTACCAAAGGTGTTTTGTAGGGTTATGATCCTAAAGCCGCTAAGTGTTGAATGATTCTTTCCAGGCTTAGATGTTGCACTGTGAAAACAAAGATCTGCTGGAAGGAGATGTTGCACTGTGAAAATAAAGATTTGCTGGAAGGAGATGTTGCACTGTGAAAATAAAGACCTGCTGGAAGGAGATGTTGCACTGTGAAAACAAAGATTTGCTAGAAGGAGATGTTGCACTGTGAAAACAAAGATTTGCTAGAAGGAGATGTTGCACTGTGAAAATAAAGACCTGCTGGAAGGAGATGTTGCACTGTGAAAACAAAGATCTGCTGGAAGGAGATGTTGCACTGTGAAAATAAAGATATGCTGGAAGAAGATGTTGCACTGTGAAAAGCTTAGGATACAAACCTGGACATGCATTCCAGACAAAGCAAATGTAGTCCTAGAAGTGCCAGGAATCATTACAAAAGAGGCATTGATGGAGATACAACAGAGAACCCTTGGCACCCTTAGCACCGCTTAGGTTTTCATTGATGGAGATACAACAGAGAACCCTTGGTTCTCTCAGCACCACTTAGACTTAGGTTTTCATTGATGGAGATACTACAAAGAACCCTTAGCTCTCTCAGCACCGTTTAGGTTTTCATTGATGGAGATACAACAGAGAACCCTTGGCTCTCTCAGCACCGTTTAGGTTTTCATTGATGGAGATACTACAAAGAACCCTTAGCTCTCTCAGCACCGTTTAGGTTTTCATTGATGGAGATACTACAAAGAACCCTTAGCTCTCTCAGCACCGTTTAGGTTTTCATTGATGGAGATACAACAAAGAACCCTTGGTTCTCTCAACACCGCTTAGACTTCGGTTTTCATTGATGGAGATACAACAGAGAACCCTTGGCTCTCTCAGCACCACTTAGACTTAGGTTTTCATTGATGGAGATACAACAAAGAACCCTTGGCTCTCTCAACACCGCTTAGACTTCGGTTTTCATTGATGGAGTTACAACAGAGAACCCTTGGCTCTCTCAGCACCACTTAGACTTAGGTTTTCATTTATGGAGATACAACAGAGAACCCTTGGTTCTCTCAACACCACTTAGACTTAGGTTTTCATTGATGGAGATGCAACAGAGAACCCTTGGCTCTATCAACACCACTTAGACTTAGGTTTTCATTGATGGAGATACAACAGAGAACCCTTGGTTCTCTCAACACCACTTAGACTTAGGTTTTCATTGATGGAGATGCTAAAGATGCAGTCAAAAATGGAGGTTGCTGGACATACGTTTGAACACTCCAGCAGCGGGGGGAGGGGGGGAGCAGCAGGCGACATCTGCACAAACTACAGCTGAGCTGAGTCAACAGGCCTTCTTTCTGCGGTCCAGTGGTGAGTTGTGTGCGACAGTAAAGGAATGGACGACGTGGTCTGAGTTGTGGGCCTATGCTCCTCTGAGGGATCAGGGGCATTTCTATGGTACCAGTGATTGTTCAACTGTGACGCTAACTGGCACATTGCAAATTGTTAAACTGTGACGTTAACTGGTACGTAACAAACTGTTCAACTGTGACGCTAATTGGCACATAACAAATTGTTCAACTGTGGCGCTAACTGGCACATAGCAAATTTTTCAAATGTGACGCTAACTGGCACATAGCAAATTGTTCATCTGCGGACACATCCAAAGGTTTTCAGATTTCCCTTTCAACATATTCATCAGCGTCGCGCGGTTAATAGTGCCAGTCCTATGCTGGTTGATCAGACTTTGTGTGCATCCAGTGTGCTTCTCATTCTTGGCTGTACCGATCTTTACTCCCAATTCTTGTATTCTTAGCAGTGATGCGGACATGTTGCTTTCAAAATCTTCAAAACGTCTTATCTCTCTAAGGGCATTGACAATATATACGTGATCCATGGGCCGGCCATCTTCAATTAATGCACCTGTCAGTCTATCAACTCTTTCATTACCAACAACACCTGCATACCCTAGGACAAATATGAAGGTAACTGCACACACCGGAGAGTTTTACAATGACTCAATCCACTGTCTGCGTAACCAGTATGCCTCGACCCGCCAGATCATGCTCAAAGAATCACTCAGCACACACACACGGGAATAGTCCTGTGATTCTAGTCACATGAAAGCCTGTGTCACCGCCATCACCTCCATCGTCATGCTGGTGGTGGTCATACAAACCCATTCAATACTTACTTAATCGCTCCTCTTCTACCTTGGGGTGTAGAGGTTTGTCAGAGAGATAGCCAGACTTCTCTATCAGCAGTTTTCTTTCTGGCTTTTTCCATCCCAGTCCTCTGTCAATTATGACTGTCGGATGCGTGTCTTCCTAGTGGATGCTGGGTCCCCCTGGAGGCCTGGGACCCTAGTTCTTAGCCACCCATGCCTGCCATGGTGGCAGATTTTCTCCCATTCTACACTGAAGTCCAAACCATCGTTAACTTTGACGGATCCACTCGGATTTAAAAGGACTGGGTATCAAGATCTTGCCTATCTTACTGATGTGATTTAATTTTTTTATTGGAGACTATGCATAAGGCTTGGTTTTGTACAGACCACAGTTGTTTGACATTATATCTGGTGTGACCGTCCCAAACTGTGGAACAATAGTCAAAGTTTGTTTGGATGTAGGATACATAGAATATTTTACATGTATCGTTATCTAGATGGTGCCAAATTTTGCCCAGCTGATACATTTCTTGTGCAATTTTGTTGGGCTTATGTTTTGTGCTCAGTTACATTAACAATAGGCAACAATGGGTAATTTGTCAATTAAGAGCTCAAGCAGTGGCTTGTGTAAAGCCAATGTTTGTAGCTTTTGTCTAGTTGTTATTACCATGGATTTAGTTTCATTTATGTTAATTTGCATGCAGTTATCATTGGTTCATTTTATAAGATTATCTTGTTTTTTCTGGAAGAAACATTCCAGCTCTTTACAATGATTATGACTAGTACATACTGTGCAGTCGTCTGCAAACAGATCACATGTTATACTAAGATGTAAAGGAAGGTCAATAATGTAAGTGGCAAAAAGTAGGGGACATAATATTGAGCCCTGAGGGACACCTACCACATTGGCCAGTGTAGATTTGGCTCAACCCTAATGTGCACATAAAAATCATAACTACATATTTCATCTTAACATAAAAACACACAAATCAACAACAGGCAAAGTAAACTTTAATACTCTCTACATCCTGGTACAGCAGGCATGGACGAAAGGCCTATAGCTGTAACATCAGGTCGTAAATGCCTTGTCTTGTTGTACAAGCTGCAACGCTTCCTTGAATGTCAGACGAGGCTTCTGATTGGTGCGGATGAACTGTGCACACAAAAAACAGGAGAATCATTCCTGAGAGACAAATCTTAATCAGACACACAGTTGCAATATATAAAGTCATTCACTTCACATACATCAGGAACATGAGTGTTGGCCATGAGAACTGTGTGAACCCATGAAAAACCAGGCACGACGGCAATAAATAAAACATGGGGGACGGAGCTCAAACCACCGTGGGCCACACCCCCCCCCCCCCCAAATATAAGGGAAACTTCTGGCACAGGCCTCATACAAAAAACAAAACAAAAAAAATTGCCAATTTCTGTCTTTATGTAGTACTTTTGTGGGTGGTAGACAGGGGAGTCCTTGACCCTGAGGATTTAATCTTTATATAGTACTTTTGTGGGTAGACAGGGGAGTCTTTGCTACCTGAGGATTTAATCTTTATATAGTACTTTTGTGGGTAGACAGGGGAGTCTTTGCTACCTGAGGATTTAAGGCCAGACAGCTGGTTCTGCAATATTACAGACACAACATTTGGTCAGCCACATGTGGGGGGGGGGGGGGGAATTAAGTTCTGTAATGTAACAGACAACATCTGGTCAGCCACATGTGGGGGGGGGGGGGGGGGAATTAAGTTCTGTAATGTAACAGACAACATCTGGTCAGCCACAGGCAGCAAAAACAAATTAAATTAGTGCTGTCCTAGATATCACAGCCACTTGCAGACAATCCATCATGGCTGCTTCCCTGGCAATGTCTGATTTCTACATAGGGTCAACAATGTTTAGTTTAGTTGACAGATCAACATCAAGGCACATGGGTGAAAACCCAGAAGTGCTCCATTCTACTTCTGACTTAAGCCTGAGTCTGAAGAATCTCAGCCAGGGCACGAACTTCGTAGCACCGGAGAGGATCCTGGAACACTCTAGGTAGACTTTTAAAATCCAAATTTTGCCCGGGCAGCGCCGCTAGGCTAACCTTTTCCATTTCCATTTGCCAAGGTATTTTTTAACGTGCGCACCAATACACACGGCCGTCTGGTCTGACTACCCAGAGACCAGGGGAAATTACTAAAAGTCCACATGAAAAAATTCCTGCCTTCACCAGGGCTTGAACCCGTGACCTCCAGCACTTGAGGAGGATGCCATACCTCGAGACTACGCAGCCCCCCCCCCCCCCCCCCCCCCCCCCCCACAATATTAAATACATCTAGCAACAAACACATGCATCTGGCTTAGGTGTTGCCAACGCTCTTTGTAACGCAAGGGTGGCGGGTTCGATCCTAGCCACAGTCGATTTAGCAGTAAACCGTCTTGCAATGTTTTTGATAGCGGTATCAAGAGTCGACCTTTCTTAAAGCAATGGCAAACTACTGAACACAAATTTGCCTAGAAAAACCACTAAAGCTTAAAAATACCTAGGCTGGTTCTGCAACGCACTGTAAAGGATACGCAACTAACTAGCTAACTAACTAACTAACTAACTAACTAACTAACTAACAAACAAACAAACAAACAAACAAACTAACTAACTAACTAACTAACTAACTAACTAACTAACTAATTAACAAACAAACTAACAAACTAACTAACTAGCTAACTTACTAACTAACTAACTAACTAACTAACTAACTAACTAACTAACTAACTAACTAACTAGCTAACTTACTAAATAACTAACTAACAAACTGACTAACAAACAAACAAACAAACAAACAAACAAACTAACTAACTAACTAACTAACTAGCTAACTAACAAACAAACAAACAAACAAACAAACAAACAAACAAACAAACAAACAAACAAACAAACAAAGTAACTAACTAACTAACTAACAAACTAACAAACTAACAAACTAACAAACTAACTAACTAACTAACTAACAAACTAACAAACTAACAAACTAACAAACTAACAAACTAACAAACTAACTAACTAACTAACTAACTAACAAACTAACAAACTAACAAACTAACAAACTAACAAACTAACAAACTAACAAACTAACAAACTAACTAACTAACTAACTAACTAACTAACTAACTAACTAACAAACTAACAAACTAACAAACAAACAAACAAACAAACAAACAAACTAACTAACTAACTAACTAACTAACTAACTAACTAACTAACTAACTAACTAACTAACTAACTAACTAACTAACTAACTAACTAACTAACAAACTAACTAACTAACTAACTAACTAACACACTAACTAACTAACTAACTAGCTAACTAACACACTAACTAACACACTAACTAACACACTAACTAGCTAACTAACTAGCTAACTAACACACTAACTAACACACTAACTAACTAAATAACTAACTAACTAACTAACTAACTAACTAACTAACTAACTAACTAACTAACTAACTAACTAACTAACTAACTAACTAACTAACTAACTAACTAACTAACTAACTAACTAACTAACTAACTAACTAACTAGCTAACTAACACACTAACTAACACACTAACTAACACACTAACTAACACACTAACTAACACACTAACTAACACACTAACTAACACACTAACTAACACTAACTAACTAACTAACTAACTAACTAACTAACTAACTAACTAACTAACTAACTAACTAACTAACTAACTAACTAACTAACTAACTAACTAACTAACTAACTAACTAACAAACAAACAAACAAACAAACAAACTAACTAACTAACTAACTAACTAACTAACTAACTAACTAACTAACTAACTAACACACTAACTAACTCACTAACTAACACACTAACTAACTAACTAACTAACTAACTAACTAACTAACTAACTAACTAACTAACTAACTAACTAACTAACTAACTAACTAACTAACTAACTAACTAGCTAACTAGCTAACTAACTAACTAACTAACTAACTAGCTAACTAACTAACTAACTAACTAACTAACTAACTAACAAACTAACAAACTAACTAACTAACTAACTAACAAACTAACAAACAAACAAACAAACTAACTAACTAACTAACAAACAAACAAACAAACAAACAAACAAACAAACAAACAAACAAACAAACAAACAAACTAACTAACTAACTAACTAACTAACTAACTAACTAACTAACTAACTAACTAACTAACTAACTAACTAACTAACTAACTAACTAACTAGCTAACTAACTAACTAGCTAACTAACTAACTAACTAACTAACTAACTAACTAACTAACTAACTAACTAACTAACTAACTAACACACTAACTAACGAACTAACTAACTAACTAACTAACTAACTAACTAACTAACTAACTAACTAACTAACTAACTAACTAACTAACACACTAACTAACTAACTAACTAACACACTAACTAACTAACTAACTAACTAACTAACTAACTAACTAACTAACTAACTAACTAACTAACTAACTAGCTAGCTAACTAACTAACTAACACACTAACTAACTAACTAACTAACTAACTAACTAACTAACTAACTAACTAACTAACTAACTAACTAACTAACTAACTAACTAACTAACTAACTAACTAACTAACTAACTAACTAACTAGCTAACTAACTAACTAACTAACTAACTAACTAACTAACACACTAACTAACTAACACACTAACTAACTAACTAACTAACTAACTAACTAACTAACTAACTAACTAACTAACTAACTAACTAACTAACTAACTAACAAACAAACTAACAAACTAACTAACTAACTAACTAACTAACTAACTAACTAACTAACTAACTAACAAACAAACTAACTAACTAACTAACTAACACACTAACTAACTAACTAACACACTAACTAACACACTAACTAACTAACTAACTAACTAACTAGCTAACTAACTAGCTAACTAACTAACTAACTAACTAGCTAACTAACACACTAACTAACACACTAACTAACACACTAACTAACACACTAACTAACACACTAACTAACACACTAACTAACACACTAACTAACACACTAACTAACACACTAACTAACACACTAACTAACTAACTAACTAACTAACTAACTAACTAACTAACTAACTAACTAACTAACTAACTAACTAACTAACTAACTAACTAACTAACTAACTAACTAACTAACTAACTAACTAACTAACTAACTAACTAACAAACAAACAAACAAACTAACTAACTAACTAACTAACTAACTAACTAACTAACTAACTAACTAACTAACTAACTAACTAACTAACTAACACACTAACTAACTCACTAACTAACACACTAACTAACTAACTAACTAACTAACTAACTAACTAACTAACTAACTAACTAACTAACTAACTAGCTAACTAGCTAACTAACTAGCTAACTAACTAACTAGCTAACTAGCTAACTAACTAACTAACTAACTAACAAACTAACAAACTAACTAACAAACTAACAAACAAACAAACAAACTAACAAACAAACAAACAAACAAACAAACAAACAAACAAACAAACAAACAAACAAACAAACAAACAAACAAACAAACTAACTAACTAACTAACTAACTAACTAACTAACTAACTAACTAACTAACTAACTAACTAACTAACTAACTAACTAACTAACTAACTAACTAACTAACTAACTAACTAACTAACTAACTAACTAACTAACTAACTAACTAACTAACTAACTAACTAACTAACTAACTAACTAACTAACTAACTAACTAACACACTAACTAACGAACTAACGAACTAACGAACTAACTAACTAACTAACTAACTAACTAACTAACTAACTAACTAACTAACTAACTAACACACTAACTAACTAACTAACTAACACACTAACTAACTAACTAACTAACTAACTAACTAACTAACTAACTAACTAACTAACTAGCTAGCTAACTAACTAACACACTAACACACTAACTAACTAACTAACTAACTAACTAACTAACTAACTAACTAACTAACTAACTAACTAACTAACTAACTAACTAACTAACTAACTAACTAACTAACTAACTAACTAACTAACTAACTAACTAACTAACTAACTAACTAACTAACTAACTAACTACCTAACTAACTAACTAACTAACTAACTAACTAACTAACTAACTAACTAACTAACTAGCTAACTAACTAGCTAACTAACTAACTAACTAACTAACTAACTAACTAACACACTAACTAACTAACACACTAACTAACTAACTAACTAACTAACTAACTAACTAACTAACTAACTAACTAACTAACTAACTAACTAACTAACTAACTAACTAACTAACTAACTAACTAACTAACTAACTAACAAACAAACAAACTAACAAACTAACTAACTAACTAACTAACTAACTAACTAACTAACTAACTAACTAACTAACTAACTAACTAACTAACTAACAAACAAACAAACTAACTAACTAACTAACACACTAACTAACTAACTAACTAACTAACTAACTAACTAACTAACTAGCTAACTAACTAACTAGCTAACTAACTAACTAACTAACTAACTAACTAACTAACTAACTAACTAACTAACTAACTAACTAACTAACTAACTAACTAACTAACACACTAACTAACACACTAACTAACACACTAACTAACTAACTAACTAACTAACTAACTAACTAACTAACTAACTAACTAACTAACTAACTAACTAACTAACTAACTAACTAACTAACTAACTAACACACTAACACACTAACTAACTAACTAACTAACTAACTAACTAACTAACTAACTAACTAACTAACTAACTAACTAACTAACTAACTAACTAACTAACTAACTAACTAACTAACTAACTAACTAACTAACTAACTAACTAACTAACTAACTAACTAACTAGCTAGCTAGTTAGCTAGCTAGCTAGCTAACTAACTAACTAACTAACTAACTAACACACTAACTAACTAACTAACTAACTAACTAACTAACTAACTAACTAACTAACTAACTAACTAACTAACTAACTAGCTAGCTAACTAACTCAGAGACAAATATAAAAAAAACTGTAACACAGCTAACGCTTCATGGAACCAGAAAACCTCTTCAATTATATCCACTATCCTGTTTGTATTGCCAATGTGGCTGTTGACCTCCCAGCTGTGACAGTTGTGCCTTCTGACCAACAGATCCAACTGATATCTGGCATTTGTTGTCTGTCTTAGCCTTCCAAGGTGGTTATGTAGGACATTTCACAGACTCAAACACTGTTGTGGCACCATGTGTAGTTTTATAGAACACTCCACAGACTCGAACACTCCACAGACTCAATCACTGTTGTGGCACCATGTGTAGTTTTATAGAACACTCCACAGACTCGAACACTCCACAGACTCAATCACTGTTGTGGCACCATGTTTAGTTTTATAGAACACTCCACAGACTCGAACACTCCACAGACTCGAACACTCCACAGGCTCAATCACTGTTGTGGCACCATGTGTAGTTTTATAGAACACTCCACAGACTCAATCACTGTTGTGGCACCATGTGTAGTTTTATAGAACACTCCACAGACTCGAACACTCCACAGACTCGAACACTCCACAGGCTCAATCACTGTTGTGGCACCATGTTTAGTTTTATAGAACACTCCACAGACTCAATCAATGTTGTGGCACCATGTTTAGTTTTATAGAACACTCCACAGACTCGAACACTCCACAGACTCGAACACTCCACAGGCTCAATCACTGTTGTGGCACCATGTGTAGTTTTATAGAATAGACTCCATTACACTGGTTTTAAGACATTTGAGTAATTGTTTAATGTCCTTGATTTTACAACTGTATGTTGGAACCGGTCATATGAAAGAAGCAGTAGTGTTCTTCCCAAAAACTTAGATATATTGCGTAAAAATGTTCTTCATCTGATACACCATATGATTGTCCTGTTCTTCATCTGATACACCATATGATTGTCCTGTTCTTCATCTGATACACCATATGATTGTCCTGTTCTTCATCTGATACACCATTTGATTGTCCTGTTCTTCATCTGATACACCATATGATTGTCCTGTTCTTCATCTGATACACCATTTGATTGTCCTGTTCTTCATCTGATACACCATATGATTGTCCTGTTCTTCATCTGATACACCATTTGATTGTCCTGTTCTTCATCTGATACACCATTTGATTGTCCTGTTCTTCATCTGATACACCATTTGATTGTCCTGTTCTTCATCTGATACACCATATGATTGTCCTGTTCTTCATCTGATACACCATTTGATTGTCCTGTTCTTCATCTGATACACCATTTAATTGTCCTGTTCTTCATCTGATACACCATTTGATTGTCCTGTTCTTCATCTGATACACCATATGATTGTCCTGTTCTTCATCTGATACACCATTTGATTGTCCTGTTCTTCATCTGATACACCATTTGATTGTCCTGTTCTTCATCTGATACACCATATGATTGTCCTGTTCTTCATCTGATACACCATATGATTGTCCTGTTCTTCATCTGATACACCATTTGATTGTCCTGTTCTTCATCTGATACACTATATGATTGTTCTGTTGGGATCTTTTTTTCACTGATTCATCTGTCTGATGTTAACTGTCAATCAAAAATAGTGAAATTCTGTAGCCACCAATAGCTTTATCACCCCCCCCCCCCCCCCCAAAAAAAAAACACTCCATAATATTCTAAAATTGTACATTTTCATGATTTGTTTCTTTGATATCAATACAGCCTGATGACCATACACTGACCTCTCTGGTCTCCTCCAAGGTCGTGTATTTATAGTCGTACTTGAATCCCTCCATGCAGGATTGATATATTCGCTGCTGGATAGCCAGGAAGTTCTGCACCAGCTCTAGCTGAACCTTCATCATCTCCTGCAGGGCCAACATGTTTGGGCTGTAGGCTGTCAGGGCTGAACATACAAACACATCAATCGTCTGAGTAACTGTCGGCTGTCAGGGCTGAACACACAAACACATCAACAGTCTGAGTAACTGTCAGGGCTGAACATACAAACACATCTATAGTCTGAGTAACTGACAGGGCTGAACACACAAACACATCAACAGTCTGAGTAACTGTCAGGGCTGAACACACAAACACATCTATAGTCTGAGTAACTGTCAGGGCTGAACACACAAACACATCAATAGTCTGAGTAACTGTCAGGGCTGAACACACAAACACATCTATAGCCTGAGTAACTGTCGGCTGTCAGGGCTGAACACACAAACACATCAACAGTCTGAGTAACTGTCGGCTGTCAGGGCTGAACATACAAACACATCAATAGTCTGAGTAACTGTCAGGGCTGAACACACAAACACATCAATAGTCTAAGTAACTGTCAGGGCTGAACACACAAACACATCTATAGCCTGAGTAACTGTCGGCTGTCAGGGCTGAACATACAAACACATCAATAGTCTGAGTAACTGTCAGGGCTGAACACACAAACACATCAATAGTCTGAGCAACTGTCAGGGCTGAACACATAAACACATCAATAGTCTGAGTAACTGTCGGCTGTCAGGGCTGAACACACAAACACATCTATAGTCTGAGTAACTGAAAACCTATGCTTGATGACTGACAGGACAGCCTAAAATCAACCATGTATCAAGGACATAAAACAACATGCAGTTATCCTAAGATGTATATAATTGACATGTCAAGTCTGTGTGATGACTGACAAATGATTTAAAAGAGTGACCATAAGTCTTTGTGTTTCTCATCTTTTTATGTGTGTACCTCCCAGTGTGTAGATGTTTTCGGTGTACCTCCCAGTAAATAGATTTTTTCTGTGTACCTCCTAGTATGTAGATGTTTTTCTGTCTAACTCCCAGTGTTTAGACGTTTTATGTGTACCTCCCAGTGTTTAGATGTTTTCTATATACCTCCCAGCATGTAGATGTTTTCTGTGTACCTCCCAATATGTAGATGTTTTCTGTGTACCTCCCAGTATGTAGATGTTTTCTGTGTACCTCCCAGCATGTAGATGTTTTCTGTGTACCTCTCAGCATGTAGATGTTTTCTGTGTACCTCCCAGCATGTAGATGTTTTCTGTGCACCTCCCAGCATGTAGATGTTTTTTGTGTACCTCCCAGTATGTAGATGTTTTCTGCGTACCTCCCAGTATGTAGATGTTTTCTGTGTACCTTCCAGTATGTAGATGTTTTCTGTGTACCTTCCAGTATGTAGATGTTTTCTGTGTACCTCCCAGTCTGTAGATGTTTTATGTGTACCTTCCAGTATGTAGATGTTTTCTGTGTACCTTCCAGTATGTAGATGTTTTCTGTGTACCTCCCAGTCTGCAGATGTTTTCTGTGTACCTCCCAGTGTGCAGATGTTTTCTGTGCACCTCCCAGTTTTGTAACTGACTAAAATACGTTTTCTTTCTTTGGCTAAAAATGATGGTAGTTCATCCACTTCTGTAAACTCTAGCTAAAAATGATGGTTGCTCATCCACTTCTGTAAAATGGATGTGCACCCTAAACAGAAGTATAGAACAAGATTAAAGTCAAGAACAACCAGAACTTTTTGCTGGTGAATGCAAAGAAGTATGCAGACTGTTGGTTTTTCTTTTTTTTCAGGTACAACTAATTAGTCATCTTCTATGACATACGTTCACCAGGAGGGCAGCGGCTCTATAACACCTCCCCCTCTCCCTGGCCACACCCCCTCTCCCTGGCCACACACCCTCTCCCTGGCCACACACCCTCTCCCTGGCCACACACCCTCTCCCTGGCCACACACCCTCTCCCTAGCCACACCCCCTCTCCCTGGCCACACCCCCTCTCCCTGGCCACACCCCTTCTCCCTGGCCACACCCCTCTCCCTGGCCACACACCCTCTCCCTGGCCACACCCCTCTCTCTGGCCACACCCCTCTCTCTGGCCACACACCACTCCCTGGCCACACACACTCTCCCTGGCCACACACCCTCTCCCTGGCCACACCCTCTCCCTGGCACACACACCCTCTCCCTGGCCACACCCCTTCTCCCTGGCCACACCCCACTCCCTGGCCACACACCCTCTCCCTGGCCACGCCCTCTCCCTGGCCACACCCCTCTCTCTGGCCACACACCCCTCTCCCTGGCCACACACCCTCTCCCTGGCCACACACCCTCTCCCTGGCCACACCCCTCTCCCTGGCCACACACCCTCTCCCTGGCCACACACCCTCTCTCTGGCCACACACCACTCCCTGGCCACACACCCTCTCCCTGGTCACACACCCTCTCCGTGGCCACACCCTCTCTGACTTTGGAACCCATACTAGTTTGAGACTCAGCAGACGTGTTGCACATGTCTGGTCAAACAAGCTACAACCATTTTGTTCCTCACCTTGAAGAGCATCGGAACTGACAACATGCCTGGCCACCGGGGCTGGATCCACGTACTGGACACCATACGGCGCTGATACATGTATGTCTGTCTGAGTTGTGTTCCAGCGTCGTGTAGAGCCCTTGACATTTGTTGCTGAGACATCCACAAGCAACTCCTCCATGACAACCTTGCAATCCTGGCTTCTGTGGATGTGCAGGTGGAATCTATTTTATTTCATCACCAGGCGAGAGACATGCTGGAAGGCAGAACAAGAGACGAACAAGGAAGACCTCATATGTTCCTAGGAGAAAAATGCCAATCAGACATGTGCCAGGGAGACATATACCAATGAGACGTGTGCCAAGGAGACATATACCAATGAGACATGTGCCAGGGGGACATATACCAATGAGACATGTGCCAGGGAGACATATACCAATGAGACATGTGCCAGGGAGACATATACCAATGAGATGTGTGCCAGGGAGACATATACCAATGAGACATGTGCCAAGGAGACATATACCAATGAGACATGTGCCAGGGAGACATATACCAATGAGACATGTGCCAGGGGGACATATACCAATGAGACATGTGCCAGGGAGACATATACCAATGAGACATGTGCCAGGGGGACATAAACCAATGAGACATGTGCCAGGGGGACATACACCAACAAAACATGTGCCAGGGGGACATAAACCAATCAGACATGTGCCGGGTTTAAACAAATCTTTCCTGACTTACTGTGGCATACCAGGAAATGAGATACTGGACAAACTTGCAAAAAATGGAACCAAGGAGAAACAGCACACACATTTATTGTCATTTCTAGAAATCAAGGGAAAATACAAGGAGTTGTGGAGAGAACAAACCAAACCGTAAACATCCACAAGAATAAATTAGCAGACTCAACAAAAAGCAATATAAAACAATTTTCTATCTAAGAAAAGGACATTGCAGGCTCAACCACCAGGCGTATAAGATAAAGACTGTACAGTCACCATATTGTGCATGTCAGACAGGACCACAAACACCTGAGCACATTTTACAGACCTGCCCACTCTACCTACAACCTGACAAGAAAACAAGACCACAAGACTAAAGTGTGCAGAGCAGGTTATTGGGAACCATGAAGGACCTGCTGCTGACATGCGAGTTGATAGAGGCAACCCAAATGATGGTCTGATCTGAGCATACAAAACAAAACACACAAAAAAAGAAGAAATAAAAACATTTAAAAACCCCAGTAAAACCACACAAAGACCAATATCAAGAGACTGAAGAAATAAATACTTAAAACACAGACAGATTGTCAACACTTGCCATTACAAAACAGACAGATTGTCAACACTTGCCTTTACAACACAGATAGATTGTCAACACTTGCCTTTACAGCACAGATAGATTGTCAACATCTGCCTTTACAGCACAGATAGATTGTCAACAATTGCCACAGCACAGATAGATTGTCAATACTTGCCTTTACAACACAGAGAAAAGTTATATTCCTGTGAACAAAGTTCCCTCTACCAGAAACTTCTCTGTGACAGGCTATGTCCTTGTAGTCAAGTCTGCGACAGGCTATGTCCCTGTGGTCAAGTGTGTGAAAGCTTTGCCCATGTGGTCAAGTTAAGTCTGTGACAGGCTATATCCCTGTGGTCAAGTCTGTGACAGACTATGTCCCCATGGTCAAGTCTGTCACAGTCTATGTCCCCATGGTCAAATATGTGACATGCTATATCCCTGTGGTAAAGTGTGTGACAGACTACATCTATGTGGTCAAGTCTGTATCAGGCTATTCCCCATGGTCAAGTCAAGTCTCTGACAGACTATATTTCTGTGGCCAAGTCAAGTCTGTGACAGGCCATGTTTCTGTGATCAAGTCTGTGAAAGGTTATGCCCCTGTGGTCATGTCTGTATCAGGCTATGTTGCCGTAGTCAAGTTAAGTCTGTATCGGGCTATGTTCCTGTGGTCAAGTTAAGTCTAGATCAGGCTATGTTCCCGTGGTCAAGTTTAGTCTGTATCAGGCTATGTCCCCATGGTCAAGTCAAGTCTGTATCGGGCTATGTTCCTGTGGTCAAGTTAAGTCTAGATCAGGCTATGTTCCCGTGGTCAAGTTTAGTCTGTATCAGGCTATGTCCCCATGGTCAAGTCAAGTCTGTGACAGGCTATGTCCCTGTGGTCAAGTTAAGTATGTATCGGGCTATGTTCCATGGTCAAGTAAAGTCTTTATCAGGCTATGTCCCTGTGGTCAAGTCAAGTCTGTATCAGGCTATGTTCCTCTGGTCAAGTCAAGTCTGTGACAGGCTATGTCCCCATGGTCAAGTCTGTATCAGGCTATGCTCCTGTGGTCAAGTCAAGTCTGTCTCCAGCTATGTTCCTATGGTCAAGTCAAGTCCGTATCAGGCTATGTCCCCATAGTCAAGTCAAATCTGTGACAGGCTATGTCCCTGTGGTCAAGCTAAGTCTGCATCAGGCTATGTTCCTGTGGTCAAGTTAAGTCTGTATCGGGCTATGTTGCCATGGTCAAGTTAAGTCTGTATCGGGCTATGTTCCCTTGATCAAGTTAAGTCTGTATCGGGCTATGTTCCCATGGTCAAGTTAAGTCTGTATTGGGCTATGTTCCTGTGGTCAAGTCAAGTCTGTATTGGGCTATGTTCCTGTGGTCAAGTCAAGTCTGTATCAGGCTTTGTCCCTGTGGTCAAGTCAAGTCTGTATCAGGCTATGTCCCTGTGGCCAAGTCAAGTCTGTATTGGGCTATGTCCCGGTGGTCAAGACAAGTCTGTATCAGGCTATGATGTCTTCATGGTCAAGTCAAGTCTGTATCAGGCTATGATGTCCCCATGGTCAAGTTAAGTCTGTATCGGGCTATGTTACCATGGTCAAGTCTGTGACAGGCCATGTCCATGTTGTCAAGTTAAGTCTGTATCAGGCTATGTTTCTGTGGTCAAGTCAAGTCTGTATCAGGCTATGTCCCTGTGGTCAAGTCAAGTCTGTATCTGGCTATGTCCCTGTGGCCAAGTCAAGTCTGTATCTGGCTATGATTTCCCCATGGTCAAGTCTGTATCAGGCCATGTTCCTGTGGTCAAGTCAAGTCTGTATCAGGCCATGATGTCCCCGTGGTTAATTCTGTATCGGGCTATGATGTCCCCATGGTCAAGTCTGTATCAGGCTATTTTCCTGTGGTCAAGTCAAGTCTGTGACAGGCTATGTCCCTGTGGTCAATTCAAGTCTGTGACAGGCCATGTTCCTGTGGTCAAGTCAAGTCTGTGACAGGCCATGTTCTTGTGGTCAAGTCCTGTGACAGGCCATGTTCCTGTGGTCAAGTCAAGTCTATGACAGGCCACGTTCCTGTGGTCAAGTCTAGTCTGTGACAGGCTATGTTCCTGTGGTCAAGTCAAGTCTGTGACAGACTATGATGTCCCTGTGGTCAAGTTTGTGACAGGCTATGTCCCTGTGGTCAAGTCAAGTCTGTGACAGGCTTTGTCCTTGTGGTCAAGTCTGTGACAAGCTATGTCCTTGTGGTCAAAACGAGTCTGTGACAAACTATGTCTAGTCATAGGTCAAGTCAAGCCTATGACACAACAGATCCCAAACTATTCTCTGTGCTTCTGTGATGCCACCTCCAATTTCCAAATGTGAAAAATCCATGGTGCTGCTTCTGTATGTGGCTAAGGGCCACAACTATTCTCACTTACATTTTTCTGCTCATTAGTGACATGTGCCAAGGACAAACCTGTCTATGATGAGTGCCCTCGTTATCTCTTCTTCAAAAGTGGAGTGTGATAACTAAGGTTTACACTATTGGCCCAACATCAAGGATGTGACTCTTTCAGTCACATGGATGCCCAATCCTTTAAGTAGCAGCCAGGATGGGGAAAAACAGTCAGAACATGCCAGGTAGTAATTCATGTGAGCACACTTGTGACCCCTTTAAGAAATCTGGCATGCCTATTTTTATGAACACATGATCTATGCTGAAATGACCGTTACCTTTTTGATTCTTTCTTTGTTGAATGAGTCTTTGACCTGTTGTCCCTGGATCTCTGAGTCACACTCGGGGTTCCGGTTGAGGACTCGGAATTAAATGATTCAGAGTATTCACTGACATCTGTAACATCGTTGACAGGCAGAGTCTTGCTGGTTCGTCTGTGAATGAACATTTAGATGGCAGTGAAAAAAACACTCAGTTCAATCTTATGTTTCTCACAGGTGGTGCTGGTGGTATCTGCAGGTGTTCAAATCTGCCAGGTTGCTGCTACATGAGATGTGGATGTGGTAGCTATCCACTCTCCTCACAACCTTATACTCCTCCCAATTGGAACCATCTCACAACAGGACAGAATACAGCAGCCTTTAGTGACTAGGCTTGCAATAATGGCACTAGCTAACTCACAACAAACACAAAAGTGACACCGTCTGCATCTTTATCTGTTGTCATTTCGCTGTCTGCATCCTTATCTATTATCATTTCACTGTCTGCATCATTATCTGTTATCATTTCACTGTCTGCATCATTATCTGTTGTCACTTCACTGTCTGCATACTTATCCGTTGTCATTTCACTGTCTGCATCCTTATCTGTTGTCATTTCACAACCAAGTATGTCATCCTTAAGGTCGGTGTCAGATTTTAAATTCCGGTATTTAGTTACACTTGGCATCAAGCTGAGCCAACAAATATCTTCTATATCCCTACATATTTAGTGTTTATTGTGGACAAGACATGTCTTCTATATCCCTTCATGTTTAGTGTAAATTGTGGACAACACAGGTCTTCTATGTCCCTATACGTTTGGTGCAAAGTGTGGACAACTCAGGTTTTCTATATCCCTACACGTTTGGTGTAAAGTGTGGACAACACAGGTTTTCTATGTCCCTATACGTTTGGTGTAAAGTGTGGACAACACAGGTCTTCTATGTCCCTATACATCTGGTGTAAAGTGAGGACAACACAGGTCTTCTATGTCCCTACATGTTTGGTGTAAAGTGTGGACAACACAGGTCTTCTATGTTCCTACATGTTTGATGTAAAGTGTGGACAACACAGGTCTTCTATGTCCCTACACGTTTGGTGTAAAGTGTGGACAACACAGGTCTTCTATGTCCCTACACATTTGGTGTAAAGTGTGGATAACACAGGTCTTCACAGGTCTTCTATGTCCCTACACGTTTGGTGTAAAGTGTGGACAACACAGGTCTTCTATGTCCCTACATGTTTGGTGTAATTTGTGGACAACACAGGTCTTCTGTGTCCCCATACATTTGATGTAAAGTGTGGACAACACAGGTCTTCTATATCCCTTCAAATTTGGTGTAAAGTGTGGACAACACAGGTCTTCTATATCCCTACATGTTTGGTGTAAAGTGTGGACAACACAGGTCTTCTATGTGCCTACACGTTTAGTGTAAAGTGTGGGCAACACAGGTCTTCTATGTGCCTACACGTTTAGTGTAAAGTGTGGACAACACAGGTCTTCTATGTGCCTACACGTTTGATGTAAAGTGTGGACAACACAGGTCTTCTGTGTGCCTACACGTTTAGTGTAAAGTGTGGGCAACACAGGTCTTCCATGTGCCTACACATTTGTGTAAAGTGTGGACAACACAGATCTTCTATATCCCTACATGTTTGGTGTAAAGTGTGGACAACACAGGTCTTCTACATCCCTACACGTTTGATGTAAAGTGTGGACAACACAGGTCTTCTGTGTGCCTACAAATCTGGCAAAAGTGATGATAACACAGGTCTTATATTTCCTTAGAAGTCTTGGGTGAGGTTTCGTAGACGCTGTGTTTGCCACATACAACTTGATCCTTCTCCCGGCATGCCTTGTTTACTCCAAAGAAAAGGTAACACCTATACATTTGTCATAATGCAAACTGCAGAAGCTACTGGATTCCATCAGACACACGTCCATGACCTACCCCCAACCCACTGCTGACTATGTACTCTCACTCATCCGATCCACTGCTGACTATGTACTCTCACTCATTCGTCTGACCCACTAGTGACTATGTACTCTCACTTGTCTGACCCACTGCTGACTATGTACTCTCACTTGTCTGACCCACTGCTGACTATGTACTCTCACTTGTCTGACCCACTGCTGACTATGTACTCTCACTTGTCTGATCCACTGCTGACTATGTACTCTCACTTGTCCGACCCACTACTGACTATGTACTCTCACTTGTCTGACCCACTGCTGACTATGTACTCTCACTCACTCGTCTGACCCACTGCTGACTATGTACTCTCACTTGTCTGACCCACTGCTGACTATGTACTCTCACTTGTCTGACCCACTGCTGACTATGTACTCTCACTTGTCTGACCCACTGCTGACTGTGTACTCTCACTCACTCGTCTGACCCACTGCTGACTGTGTACTCTCACTTGTCTGATCCACTGCTGACTATGTACTCTCACTCACTCATCTGACCCACTGCTGACTATGTACTCTCACTTGTCTGATCCACTGCTGACTATGTACTCTCACTTGTCTGACCCACTGCTGACTATGTACTCTCACTTGTCTGATCCACTGCTGACTGTGTACTCTCACTTGTCCGACCCACTGCTGACTATGTACTCTCACTTGTCCGATCCACTGCTGACAATGTACTCTTACTTGTCTGACTCACTACTGACTATGTACTCTCACTTGTCTGACCCACTGCTGACTATGTACTCTCACTTGTCTGACCCACTGCTGACTATGTACTCTCACTTGTCTGACCCACTGCTGACTGTGTACTCTCACTTGTCTGACCCAATGCTGACTATGTACTCTCACTTGTCTGACCCAATGCTGACTATGTACTCTCACTTGTCTGACCCACTGCTGACTATGTACTCTCACTTGTCTGACCCACTGCTGACTATGTACTCTCACTCACTCGTCTGACCCACTAGTGACTATGTACTCTCACTTGTCTGACCCAATGCTGACTATGTACTCTCACTTGTCTGACCCACTGCTGACTATGTACTCTCACTTGTCTGACCCACTGCTGACTATGTACTCTCACTTGTCTGACCCACTAGTGACTATGTACTCTCACTTGTCTGACCCACTGCTGACTATGTACTCTCACTTGTCTGACCCACTGCTGACTATGTACTCTCACTTGTCTGACCCACTGCTGACTATGTACTCTCACTTGTCTGACCCAATGCTGACTATGTACTCTCACTTGTCTGACCCAATGCTGACTATGTACTCTCACTTGTCTGACCCACCGCTGACTATGTACTCTCACTCGTCCGACCCACTGATGACTGTGTACTATCATGCGTCTGACCCACTGCTGACTATGTACTCTCACTCATCTGACCCACTGCAGACTTAGTACCCTTCCTCCTCAGATCCGTACCTCAGTCAACTAGCTGATCTAGTTAACAAGCAGAATTAAAATACTCAATGGCAAATGTCGACCACTCATCTTTCTCCATCTTCTAGTCAAAGGTAATCAATAAAACAACATACAAACCTGACATTTGTTTTCAAAGAATTCTGTTCAGCCTCCGATGCCCTCTTGTGCTCATGACTAATGTCGGTGATTATACTTGACTCTGACACTTTCAACATTTTCTTGTGCTCATTTAAACTTTGTGTTTTAATCTCTGATTCTTCAGAGCTGCCTAGATGGTCTTCTCTGTTGCTGTCTGCATCAATGCTCAGCAGCTCATCAGCCATGTGTATGCCCAGGGCATCAAAGAGACTTGATGAAGATTCTTTTTTCTTAGGAGAAGATTTCGAGGGCACAGGTTTCTGCTTCTGGTGCAGCGCCACACATTCAGTAGAGGGTGACCTGAATTTGACACTGGAACTCTTGTGTTTCTGAGTCATATTCTTGGAGTGTGTGTCAACTCTCTTGGCATGTGCTCGAGGTAACGGTGGAGGTGGGCTTGGCAAACTGGGCAGAAGACTTGCTACATCCGTCAGGTTGACTGTTGGTACAATAAACATACAAATATTGTACATGATGCCACAGTGTCATGTAGCAAACAAACCATTTGAAATGTACATAAATATTATGATTATCACCGTCCTGTGCTGTGCTGGTAAAAGAAAGCCGTCATGTTTTGCCACCTCACATGATCATCGGAATCACGGATCATTTAAATGCTAATGTCTCTCTTTTAGAGCACCAATGCCTGTTATCAATAATATATATTATGTTTATAAAAAAACATATATATATATATATATATATATATATATATATATATATATATATATATATATATATATATATATATATATATACACACACACACACACACACACACACACACACATTATATGTCTGTGTCTGCAATTAACACTGTTTCATCTGCATATATAACATTGTTATTTTATATCCTCAAACATTAATTCTCTGCATATCTTTTAGAGGTCGCATAAAACCCTTTATTATTTAAAGAAAATAGATCTGTAGATTTTACACATACTTGTGGCACACCTCCCTTGATTGGCTGGTAGAGACCTACTTCATTATTTAAGGAAAATAGATCTGGAGATTTTACACATCCTTGTGGCACACCTCCCTTGAATGGCTGGTAGAGATATTACACATCTCTGTGGCACACCTCCCTTGATTGGCTGGTAGAGACATCTCCCTTGATTGGCTGGTAGAGACACCTCCCTTGATTGGCTGGTAGAGACACCTCCCTTGATTGCCTGGTAGAGACACCTCCCTTGATTGGCTGGTAGAGACACCTCCCTTGACTGGCTAGTAGAGACACCTCCCTTGATTACACATCTCTGTGGCACACCTCCCTTGATTGGCTGGTAGAGATATTACACATCTCTGTGACACACCTCCCTTGATTGGCTGGTAGAGACACCTCCCTTAATTGGCTGGTAGAGACACCTCCCTTGATTGGCTGGTAGAGACCTTCTTCATTATCAATTTTTAAAGCAAAATTTTTTCAGTATATGCTCTTCATCAGTCTAAGATCTCCCCCATCAATGTGTGTACATTTGTAAGCAGTTTGATTCTGTAAACATGTCTTACTTCAGCAAAAACCTTAGTGTAATCAATAAAACAGAGATAAAGATCTTTATTTCTATCGAACATTCTATTTTTGTTCTCAGGAGATAACAGCTTGCCTTCTATGAATCCACATTGCTGCTCACCTATGTCTGGTTTCATTTTGCCTAGCTCTTTGCATGATGATTTCTAGCCAAATCTTTGTGATGTGACTTGTGATGTTAGTTGTTCAAACTGGATTATAATTAGGGAAGAACAAGAAACAATATTAAACCACAAATTCAGGATTGAACAAAGTGGTTTAGTATAGGACAAGTCTTTGTCAAGACGTGTGTCAGAACTGCCGTTTAAGCTGGTTTGACAGAATTACATAAGGTGAAGGTCACATCTCCTAAAGGCAGTATCACAACCTGATCATAAAATGGCGGGACATTCTGAAATCTAAAGTCTCTGATACAGCATGATTTAGTTACAAATATGGACCAGAGATTTTAGATTAAAATGTGAACACTTTACATTTCGAAATTGTAAAAAAATCAAAGTTCATTACTTTGAAAGAGGTGATCCGAGTTGTTTGAACCTGGTCTCCCATCATGCATCTCACTGGCCAGGGAGTTCACCATATCTGAGTCCTGGGAAGCTGATTGTGATAGTTTCCCAAAGGGTGACCTTGACTGCCGAAGAGGTGACTGTGACCTTGACTCTAGTACAGGAGATGGAGAATGACTTACTGATGACGAAGTCCGCTGACGCCATTTCTGCTGTTTCTTTGTTACAAGCTGTCGGGCAAATAAAATTTTAAAAAAAACAGACTTGAAAAACAGATACACATGGAATAAACTGACTTGGCTACTGAACCAACTGACTTCTTATGAAAGTATCAGATTTCTAATACAGTGATGACACAGTTGTTGGGGGAAAGGGGTGTTTATAGAACAGACTTGATGTACAGTGATGACACAGTTGTTGGGAGAAAGGGGTGTTTATAGAACAGACTTGATGTACAGTGATGACACAGTTGTTGGGGGAAAGGGGTGTTTATAGAACAGACTTGATGTACAGTGATGACACAGTTGTTGGGAGAAAGAGGTGTTTATAGAACAGACTTGATGTACAGTGATGACACATTTGTTGGGGAAAGGGGTGTTTATAGAACAAATTTGATGTACAGTGATGACACAGTTGTTGGAGGAAAGGGGTGTTTATAGAACAGACTTGATGTACAGTGATGACACAGTTGTTGGAAGAAAGGGGTGTTTATAGAACAGACTTGATGTACAGTGATGACACAGTTGTTGGGGGAAAGGGGTGTTTATAGAACAGACTTGATGTACAGTGATGACACAGTTGTTGGGGAAAGGGGTGTTTATAGAACATACTTGATGTACAGTGATGACACAGTTGTTGGGAGAAAGGGGTGTTTATAGAACAGACTTGATGTACAGTGATGACACAGTTGTTGGGGGAAAGGGGTGTTTATAGAACAGACTTGATGTACAGTGATGACACAGTTGTTGGGGGAAAGGAGTGTTTATAGAACAGACTTGATGTACAGTGAGGACACAGTTGTTGGGAGAAAGGGGTGTTTATAGAACAGACTTGATGTACAGTGATGACACAGTTGTTGGGGGAAAGGGGTGTTTATAGAACAGACTTGATGTACAGTGATGACACAGTTGTTGGGAGAAAGGGGTGTTTATAGAACAGATTTGATGTACAGTGATGACACATTTGTTGGGGAAAGGGGTGTTTATAGAACAGACTTGATGTACAGTGATGACACAGTTGTTGGGGGAAAGGGGTGTTTATAGAACAGACTTGATGTACAGTGATGACACAGTTGTTGGGGAAAGAGGTGTTTATAGAACAGACTTGATGTACAGTGATGACACAGTTGTTGGGACATGGTATGCTGGGGGTGACAGAATAGGTTTCATCTATAGTGAGGACATGGTATGCTGGGGGTGACAGAATAGGTTTCATCTATAGTGAGGACATGGTATGCTGGGGGTGACAGAATAGGTTTCATGGATAGTGAGGACATGGTATGCTGGGGGTGACAGAATAGGTTTCATGTATAGTGAGGACATGGTATGCTGGAGAAAAGGGTGGGCGTACATTCTTTATCTATTTTGTCAACCCCAGCACACCATGTCTTCATTATACATAAAATCTATTCTGTCACCCCCAAGTACCATGTCTTCACTATACATAAAATCTATTCTGTCAACCCCAACATACCATGTCTTCATTATACATAAAATCTATTCTGTCACCCCCAACATACCATGTCTTCACTATACATAATATCTATTCTGTCAACCCCAAGTACCATGTCTTCATTATACATAAAATCTATTCTGTCACCCCCAAGTACCATGTCTTCATTATACATGAAATCTATTCTGTCAAACCCAACATACCATGTCATCACTATACATAAAATCTATTCTGTCACCCCTAACATACCATGTCTTCACTATACATACAGTCTATTCTATCACCCCCAACATACCATGTCTTCACTATACATGAAATCTATTCTGTCACCCCCAAGTACCATGTCTTCACTATATATGAAATCTATTCTGTCGACCCCAACATACCATGTCTTCACCATACATAAAATCTATTCTGTCACCCCCAAGTACCATGTCTTCACTATACATGAAATCTATTCTACCACCCCCAACACACCATGTCTTCACTATACATAAAATCTATTCTGTCACCCCCAACATACCAAGTCTTCACTATCCATGAAATCTATTCTGTCATCCCCAACATACCATGTCTTCACTATACATGACATTTATTCTATCACCCCCAACATAGCATGTCTTCATCATACATGAAATCTATTCTGTCACCCCAACATACCATGTCTTTACCATACATGTTCTGTCACCCCCATCATACTGTGTCAAAATACAGTGAAAACGTATGACAGATGTCTATGGTTGTTTAAATATGATAAATGCTCAACTCTGATTCTCTCTCTCTCTCTTTTTCATCCTGTAATTTAAATATAAAATATACCAATGAGACATGTGCCAGGGAGATATATACCAATGAGACATGTGCCAGGGAGATATATACCAATGAGGCATGTGCCAGGGAGACATACACCAATAAAACATGTGCCAGGGAGATATATACCAATGAGACATGTGCCAGGGAGATACATACCAATGAGACATGTGCCAGGGAGATATATACCAATCAGAAATGTGCCAGGGAGACATAAACCAATGAGACATGTGCCAGGGAGATATATACCAATGAGACATGTGCCAGGGAGATATATACCAATGAGGCATGTGCCAGGGAGACATACACCAATAAAACATGTGCCAGGGAGATATATACCAATGAGACATGTGCCAGGGAGATACATACCAATGAGACATGTGCCAGGGAGATATATACCAATCAGAAATGTGCCAGGGAGACATAAACCAATGAGACATGTGCCAGGGAGATATATACCAATGAGACATGCGCCAGGGAGATATATACCAATGAGACATGTGCCAGGGGGACATATACCAATGAGACATGTGCCAGGGAGATATATACAAATGAGACATGTTCCAGGAAGATATATACCAATCAGAAATGTGCCAGGGAGATATATACAAATGAGACATGTGCCAGGGAGATATATACCAATGAGACATGTGCCAGGGAGACATACACCAATGTGACATGTGCCAGGGAGATATATACCAATGAGACGTGTGCCAGGGAGACATATATCAATCAGACATGTGCCAGGGAGATATATACCAATGAGACATGTGCCAATGAGACATGTGCCAGGGAGACATGTGCCAATCAGTCTAATTTGTGCTTCAAAAATAAAATACAACTGTGTGAAAGATGAGTGGAATGCAGAATGTAAGATGCACGTGCATGTCCAATGTGTGACCCTTTGAAAATAAAATGTTTTCATTTGATCATTAGCTCTCTGTCTCTTACATACGTACATGCGTGTACACATACAAACACATATAAGCATAGACACACATACAAGAACATACACACATGCAAGCACATATAAGCATAGACACACATACAGGAACATACACACATGCAAGCACATACACACTAACCTTGCTGACTTGACTTCAATGAGAACATAATGGACACACACAAACTGAGATTGTTTACTTCTTCCAAACTTCAATGCTAAAGTGACCTCACGACCTCACTAGCAGTAATATCTAGATTCTACAACATAACAGGTTAGCTTCCGTTTGACCCATGACCTCACTAGCAGTATTATCTAGATTCTACAACATAACAGGTTAGCTTCCGTTTGACCCATGACCTCACTAGCAGTAATATCTAGATTCTACAACATAACAGGTTAGCTTCCGTTTGACCCATGACCTCACTTGCAGTAATCTATAATGTCTTCAACATGACAGAACAGTGTAAAAGTGACCCCATGACCTCACTAGCAGTAATATCTACATTCTACAACATGAGGGTTATTTGCAAAAGTTACCTCATGACCTCACTAGTAGTAATATCTACATTCTACAACATGAGGGTTATTTGTGAAAGTTACCATATGACCTCACTAGTAGTAATATCTACATTCTACAACATGAGGGTTATTTGTGAAAGTTACCATATGACCTCACTAGTAGTAATATCTACATTCTACAACATGAGGGTTATTTGTGAAAGTTACCATATGACCTCACTAGTAGTAATATCTACATTCTACAACATGAGGGTTATTTGCAAAAGTTACCTCATGACCTCACTAGTAGTAATATCTACAGTCTACAACAAAACCGGTCGGTTTTTTGACCTCACTTTCAGTAACATCTACAAGATGACATGTCATTGTGACCCATGATCTCATTTCAGTAACGTCTACAAAATGACAGGTCAGTGTCAATGTGACCCCATGACCTCACTAGCAGTAATATTTACAACATTACAGGTCAATGTCAAGGTAACTCACATTCTGTGGCCGCCGAGCAGACAACTCTGATGTGGAGAGACCCTGGATGAACTCTGTGAGACTGTCCTGATCTGAAGGAACAAAATGGCTTCCCAGTGTTCTGGCGATTTCATCTAGGTAAATTAGTGTTTAACAATTGTACAATCTGGCACTAAATCTGGCACTAAATCTGGCACTAAATCTAGAACTAAAGCACTAAACTAACAGGACACAATGTTCCAGTCAGTGAGGTCACCAATGAATAACTCTGCTTTGAAACAAACACTAGTAGGTCAGTTCACAGTTACAGGCAACATCTTTACATCTTCCACATAATGTTTCTCCAGAAGCGCTTTGACGATGGCCACAGAGAGGGGTCGATAGTTCTCGGCCAGTCTGAGTTAAAATTAGCCCTTGTCAAACAGAGACTCATTGATATTCCTTTCCCATGACACCAAACAAAACTGACTCTGCACTTGATTTTTAAAACATCTCCCTCTATGTGTTCCCAGGCCACAGGGTGTGAGTTCCCAGGCCACAGTGTGTGGGTTCCCAGGCCACAGTGTGTGGGTTCCCAGGCAACCTTGCGTGTGGGTTCCCAGGCCACAGTGTGTGGGTCCCCAGACCAAGATGTGTGGGTTCCCAGGCCACAGTGTGTGGGTTCCCAGGCCACCTTGAGTGTAGGTTCCCAGGCCACCTTGTGTGTGGGTTCCCATACCACAGTGTGTGGGTTCCCAGGCCACAGTGTGTGGGTTCACAGGCCAAGGTGTGTGGGTTGCCAGGCTACAGTGTGTGGGTTCCCAGGCTACAGTGTATGGGTTCCCAAGCCACAGTGTGTGGGTTGCCAGGACACAGTGTGTGGGTTCCCAGACCACAGTGTGTGGGTTCCCAGGCCACAGTGTGTGGGTTGCCAGTGTGTAGGTTCCCAGTGTGTGGAAAAGCACAACAGATGCACCGCCTCCCAACAAGCATGTCCTAAGAGTCAACTAACTGGTGGTTTCCTTCAAAGTCAGAATGCCTCTGCCTGAGACGGAAGCAATCAACTGTTGGCACAAAAATAAGCCAGATCAGTAACCTGGTTGTGTAGGTAACACTCCAGTTCTGAAACCAGACTAAGGTCCAAAAGTGGACAAACAACCTGAACTTTTGCCAGTTTACAGCCAGTGAATGCGAAGAAAGAAATGATTCTAACAAATTCAAGATAATTTCACATGCTTTTCCTAGCACATCCGATGACACAAAAATACTTCCATGTGACTATCCTGGCCCATTTAATAATGCACTATTATTTAAATGATTTCCTGAAGCAATCTCCTCATGCGTTATGCTAAAGGCTACTGTACACTCCGTATACAACCCTGATTACCAGCGCATAGCTCTAAGATAACAGTGTTTACCAGCACATAACTCATTACACAACATTGTTTACTGGCCATAACTCATTTCACAACATTGTTTACTGGCCATAACTCATTATACAACATTGTTTACTGACCATAACTCATTTCACAACATTGTTTACTGACCATAACTCATTATACAACAGTGTTTACTGGCCATAACTCATTTTACAACATTGTTTACTGACCATAACTCATTACACAACATTGTTTACTGGCACATAACTCATTACACAACATTGTTTACTGGCACATAACTCATTACACAACATTGTTTACTGGCACATAACTCATTTCACAACATTGTTTACTGACCATAACTCATTTCACAACATTGTTTACTGACCATAACTCATTTCACAACATTGTTTACTGACCATAACTCATTTCACAACATTGTTTACTGGCCATAACTCATTACACAACATTGTTTACTGGCCATAACTCATTTCACAACATTGTTTACTGGCCATAACTCATTTCACAACATTGTTTACTGACCATAACTTATTACACAACATTGTTTACTGACCATAACTCATTACACAACATTGTTTACTGGCCATAACTCATTTCACAACATTGTTTACTGACCATAACTCATTACACAACATTGTTTACTGACCATAACAAATTACACAACATTGTTTACTGGCACATAACTCATTATACAACATTGTTTACTGGCCATAACTCATTACACAACATTGTTTACTGACCATAACTCATTACACAACATTGTTTACTGGCCATAACTCATTACACAACATTGTTTACTGACCATAACTCATTTCACAACATTGTTTACTGACCATAACTCATTTCACAACATTGTTTACTGACCATAACTCATTTCACAACATTGTTTACTGACCATAACTCATTACACAACATTGTTTACTGGTCATAACTCATTACACAACATTGTTTACTGGCCATAACTTATTACACAACATTGTTTACTGACCATAACTCATTACACAACATTGTTTACTGGCCATAACTCATTACACAACATTGTTTACTGACCATAACTCATTTCACAACATTGTTTACTGACCATAACTCATTTCACAACATTGTTTACTGACCATAACTCATTTCACAACATTGTTTACTGACCATAACTCATTACACAACATTGTTTACTGGTCATAACTCATTACACAACATTGTTTACTGGCCATAACTCATTACACAACATTGTTTATTATAACATAACTCGTTACACAACATTGTTTACTGGCCAAAACTCATTTCACAACATTGTTTACTGGCCATAACTCATTTCACAACATTGTTTACTGACCATAACTCATTTCACAACATTGTTTACTGACCATAACTCATTACACAACATTGTTTACCATAACATAACTCATTACACAACATTGTTTACTGGCCATAACTCATTTCACAACATTGTTTACCATAACATAACTCATTACACAACATTGTTTACTGGCCATAACTCATTTCACAAAATTGTTTACCATAACATAACTCATTACACAACATTGTTTACTGGCCATAACTCATTACACAACATTGTTTACTGGCCATAACTCATTACACAACATTGTTTACCATAACATAACTCATTACACAACATTGTTTACCATAACATAACTCATTACATAACATTGTTTACCATAACATAACTCATTACATAACATTGTTTACTGGTCATAACTCATTTCACAACATTGTTTACCATAACATAACTCATTACACAACATTGTTTACCATAACATAACTCATTACACAACATTGTTTACCATAACATAACTCATTACACAACATTGTTTACTGGCACATAACTCATTACACAACATTGTTTACCATAACATAACTCATTACACAACATTGTTTACTGGCACATAACTCATTACACAACATTGTTTACTGGCACATAACTCATTACACAACATTGTTTACTGGCACATAACTCATTACACAACATTGTTTACCATAACATAACTCATTACACAACATTGTTTACCATAAAATAACTCATTACACAACATTGTTTACTGGCACATAACTCATTACACAACATTGTTTACCATAACATAACTCATTACACAACATTGTTTACTGGCACACAACTCATTACACAACATTGTTTACTGGCACATAACTCATTACACAACATTGTTTACTGGCACATAACACATTACACAACATTGTTTACTGGCACATAACTCATTACACAACATTGTTTACTGGCACATAACTCATTACACAACATTGTTTACCATAACATAACTCATTACACAACATTGTTTACTGGCACATAACTCATTACACAACATTGTTTACTGGCACATAACTCATTACACAACATTGTTTACTGGCACATAACTCATTACACAACATTGTTTACCATAACATAACTCATTACACAACATTGTTTACTGGCACATAACTCATTACACAACATTGTTTACTGGCACATAACTCATTACACAACATTGTTTACTGGCACATAACTCATTACACAACATTGTTTACTGGCACATAACTCATTACACAACATTGTTTACTGGCACATAACTCATTACACAACATTGTTTACTGGCACATAACACATTACACAACATTGTTTACTGGCACATAACTCATTACACAACATTGTTTACTGGCACATAACTCATTACACAACATTGTTTACCATAACATAACTCATTACACAACATTGTTTACTGGCACATAACTCATTACACAACATTGTTTACTGGCACATAACTCATTACACAACATTGTTTACTGGCACATAACTCATTACACAACATTGTTTACCATAACATAACTCATTACACAACATTGTTTACTGGCACATAACTCATTACACAACATTGTTTACTGGCACATAACTCATTACACAACATTGTTTACTGGCACATAACTCATTACACAACATTGTTTACTGGCACATAACTCATTATACAACATTGTTTACCAGCAGACAATTCGGTATAAAAAAATTGTTCAACAGTAAAAAGAACATGAGACACATTCAGTGCCCTTACCTTTCTTCTGTTGCAACTCTTTCTCTTGGTAAGATGTCTGTGCAAGTGGGGAATGCAAACCTGGCTTTCTTTCATGATACTGGATGTTCTGATTTTTCAAAAGGTGGAGAGTTTCTGGCCCAACACCTGACTTGGCTGTGTCTGGCCCAACACCTGACTTGGCTGTGTCTGGTCTGTGACCTAGATCTGATTCTGTAAAACTGACCTCAGATTGGCTATCCCTGGACACCAGCTGATATCGTCCAGACTTGCCTGATTCGGGTGCAGCATCAACTTCCTTGGCTGATCTAGGTTGACAGGAAGCTGAAAACAAAACAAGGGCTCATATCCTGATCCTTGGTACCTACCATTTGTCTACAGTGACTTTTCCTACTGACCAATATATCAACTTTTGCAGACTAGTGGTATTCATTCTCTTTGGCTAGTAATAAAAGGTCTACAGTGGACTAATCACAATTTTCTTGTCATAGAACCCTTGTGACAGCTTTTAGTCCAGGTATTGTCACCCTGTCACAGAACCCTTGTGACAGCCTTTAGTCCAGGTATTGTCACCCTGTCACAGAACCATAGGACAGCTTTTAGTCCAAGCATTGTCACCCTGTCACAGAACCATGGGGCAGCCTTTAGTCCAAGTATTGTCACCCTGTCAGAGAACCCTTGGACAGCCTTTAGTCCAAGTATTGTCACCCTGTCACAGAACCACAGAACAGCCTTTAGTCCAAGTATTGTCACTCTGTCACAGAACAGCCTTTAGTCTAGATATTGTCACCCTGTCACAGAATCATGGGGCAGCTTTTAGTCCAAGTATTGTCACCCTGTCACAGAACAACAGGACAGCCTTTAGTCCAAGTATTGTCACCCTGTCACAGAACCCTTGGACAGCCTTTAGTCCAAGTATTGTCACCCTGTCACAGAACCACAGAACAGCCTTTAGTTCAAGTATTGTCACCCTGTCACAGAACTACGGGACCGCCTTTAGTCCAGGTATTGTCATCCTGTCATAGATCCATAGGACAGCCTTTAGTCCAGATATTGTCACCCTGTCACAGAACCATGGGACAGTCATTAGTCTAAATAATGTCACAGAACCATAGGACAGCCTTTAGTCCAGATGTTGTCAATCTGTCACAGAACCACGGGGCAGCCTTTAGTCTAAGTATTGTCACCCTGTCACAGAACCACGGGACAGCCTTTAGTACAGGTATTGTCACCCTGTCACAGAACCACAGGGCAGCCTTTAGTCCAAGTATTGTCACCCTATCACAGAACCACGGGACAGCCTTTAGTACAGGTATTGTCACCCTGTCACAGAATCACGGGACAGCCTTTAGTCCAAGTATTGTCACCCTGTCACAGAATCACGGGACAGCCTTTAGTACAGGTATTGTCACCCTGTCACAGAACCACGGGGCAGCCTTTAGTCCAAGTATTGTCACCCTGTCATAGAACCACGGGACAGCCTTTAGTACAGGTATTGTCACCCTGTCACAGAACCCTTGGACAGCCTTTAGTCCAAGTATTGTCACCTTGTCACAGAACCACAGTACAGCCTTTAGTCCAAGTATTGTCACCCTGTCACAGAACCACGGGACAGCCTTTATTACAGGTATTGTCACCCTGTCACAGAACCATGGGACAGCCTTTAGTACAGGTATTGTCACGCTGTCACAGAACCATGGGACAGCCTTTAGTCCAAGTATTGTCACCCTGTCACAGAACCATGGGACAGCCTTTAGTCCAAGTATTGTCACCCTGTCACAGAACCACGGGACAGCCTTTATTACAGGTATTGTCACCCTGTCACAGAACCATGGGACAGCCTTTAGTACAGGTATTGTCACGCTGTCACAGAACCATGGGACAGCCTTTAGTCCAAGTATTGTCACCCTGTCACAGAACCACGGGCAGCCTTTAGTCCACGTATTGTCACCCTGTCACAGAACCACGGGACAGCCTTTAGTACAGGTATTGTCACCCTGTCACAGAACCACAGGACAGCCTTTAGTACAGGTATTGTCACCCTGTCACAGAACCATGGGACAGTCTTTAGTCCAGGTTTGGGCAATCTGTCACATGCTTTCAGAACCTACTGTTGCCAGATTTTAGTGTTAATTTTTCAAAATGGCCTTAAGCCAGGGGACATATTATGGATGTAATTTGTATAATCTATGAACAGTGATGTCCAGCCAATCATACCTTTCATGTCTGTGCACACTGACATCTCCAGTTAATCTCCTATAGATGTAATAATTGACTGTGTGTGATTGTGACATCATGCCAGAACTATGCAGACAGTAAATTATGATGACTGCCTGTTTGAATGCATGGTACAAAACCATAACAGAGCTTCTGTGATCTGTCTATACTGTATCCACTATTGAACCACACTGTCCAGAAACAGCCTCCTTTCCCACAGCAGTTATATGACACCCAATTCTGGTTAATTTCATCTTCTTAATTTGTACAAAAATGTTGGATACCATTATGTTGTATCTGTTTACAGCCAAGGTGCAATGTTTGCATATTTCAGCTGACACTTTCAACTTCTTCAGGCATTGACTGATCTGTGTTAGCCCTCTCATAGTTTCAAATATAGTTCACCAATGACTATGTGAGTTCAGTGTCGACCTGCAAGGTTTCCTGTAGACCTTCATATATTGACTTATGTAGTGATGACAACAATCAACTATGATACCTTCCTTGTTGCCCCCTGAAAGAACCGGACGGTTTTCAGTTTTCTTGCCAGTGACACCATCAGTGCCGGACGAACCTGTGGCACCTGTCACGCCAGGCTGGGGTTTTTTCTTCAAAAATCTGCTAGTCGGAGTTGGCAACACTGGACTGACAGAGCGGCGGTCGATAAAACCGGAGTGTTTGCTATCTGCTCCACTGGATGTGGAAATGTCCACATCTCTGACCTGCTGAGACCTCTGAGTCAGAGTATTCAGATAAGCCTAAAATAAAGAAAAAACAAACAAATGTTTGCCATGTCACCGAATTATTTCTGTTGTCCTTATGTTGTCCTGACTAAAACAACATGTATAGAAATTGTCTACAAATAGAGAAAATGAACAAATAAACTTTTCATTTGTGATAATCGACAATTTCTGAAAACTGTTTCCAGGGGGCTAGACAGACATGGCTGTGTGTCTAGCGTTGTAATGACCCTGCTTTGCATGGTCTCCACGAGTACATTGTGGCCAGTGGAAAGTCCGTGCTACAAGTGACAGCACGAGATAATTGGGTCTAGTCGAGGAAGCGAGGGGAAGCCCGAGCTAGACTCGTGGTCAGTCGATCATGAGAAGTGAGAGAAGACGGTTGTAGTAATTGAAGATGCCGTTTTTTATGTCGCGCGAATGGTTAGTGTTGGAATATGTCGCGAGTGATAAAGTGTGAATAATGTTTGAACATGTGAAATAAATGGACCAGAATAAACTGACAGAATGTACAAAGAAGCTGAGCGGCGTTTGTGTTTTTAACTCTAGATGTTAAAGCAGTGCAAGTTTGTAGCAGTAAACATCCAGAGAGTGAGCCGTGGCAAAAGTCAATATGTACTGAGCCAAGGTTATTCCAAGTCAAGCCAAGGTTTATTACAAATGGAGGCTCGTCCGAAGAAAATTTGAGAACCACACGGACCACAATTATTAGGAAAACATTTTTGTTTCTTCCAAGGTAAGAAAAACATGCGGAAAACAGTGTACAATACATCGTCTTCACCCGAGCAGAGCCTATAAACACAGCAAGCTGCGACAGGTCAGCTGCCGACCAATGAAAACCAGTATTACATCGTGTTTACACAATTGTGATAGCTACTGTGAAAGTTAGATCATGTTACATACCTAAAGTGTTTGTGTAAATAAATATTAAATTAATGATAAAGTATTTTTAAAAAGTGCATAAACACCTGATTTCATTTATAAAAAACAGCCACATACTGTGTGTATTGAACACCTTCCGTTTAATTATTATTTTAAAGGTGGCATATCAGTGTATACAGTCACTGAACACTGTTAATAGTAATGTGTCATCTCATAAAATTATATTTTTAGTCAGTATATTTGCAAGATTACCAGCTATCCTACAATGAGAGACCCCAGAGCAGAATAGACTGTTGAGCAAACTAAGGAATGAGAACCTTGAAAGCAAGCGCCAGAGTACAAGCAAGACACACACAGCCTGCAGGGATGGATCAAGATCAAGGATAGTTAATGGAATGAATGGGAATGAAAGAGAATAAAACAGGTATGAATGATGAATGAAAGATTTGTGAGTAGTAATTTAAACTAATTAATAGTGTACATGTATTTTACTTAAGTGAGTAGTTCATTAGAATTATGTAAGTATCCAGGCAATGACAGAGTTTAGTAGTTCAAAAAGTTAGGGAAAAAATCTCTCTCCCCGGGAACAGTACAGAAAAATGAAAATAAGATGTAGAACAATAGATATTATAAGAAAATCTTTCTTCCACAGAATGACTTTGATAAAAAATTAATTTGAAATGTTTTGGCATAGGTACACAGCACAGGGACATGCTAAAGTTGTCCACCACCCCCAAGATTAGGAACGGCTATAGTTATACTGATGCTGAATAGACATACTGATGGTAAAGAAAGAGTGCACACATCAAAGCACAAGCACAGTAGAGGAGTTGAACTCATCTGTATCCATCTAAAGGGGGAAAAGGTTGTGGGATTCCTTGGAGTTGAATACTCTGTTAAAGGTGACATAGAGACTGGTGGGGAAACCCTAAACTCTATTAAAAATCATCCCAATAGTCATCGTTTCATCTGAGATTCCTTGGGGTTAACTACCCTGTTAAAGGTGGTTATAGACTTGGAGGAAACTCTAAGATCTATGAAAAAATATATCTCAACTATCATTGTTTTCATGTTGGATTCCTTGGGTAATTACCCTGTGAAAGGTGGAGAAGACTATGTCTATGACAAATATATCTCAACATGCATTTTTTTTTTCTGTGGTAGATTCCTTGGGATTGGGTAATTACCCTGTAAAAGGTGTTATAGAGGCTTCTGGGAAACCGGAAGCACTATGATAAATATATCTCACCACTATCATATCGGCTAAGAGTCCTTGGAGATGAATACCCTGTAAAAGGTGATGTAGAATTATTGTTTTAATCCAATTTTCTAGGTAGTAAATATCTCAAAGCTGACCATTATCATCACCATCATCACAATGATCATTTCACTTCAACCTGATAGAATAGATATAGTGACGAAGCTATACTACAGATGCAATACGTGCAAAGATAAAGATACCCTTCACCAGTTCAGTACTAGAAAAAGCATACAGTAAAAAATTAAAAATAAGGGCAGTAATTTAGGGTAATTAAGAACAGTAATCCGGTATAGCGAAGTTAGATTTTAGTGCCACTGATTCATTTAACAGTTGAATAGAAAATGATACTTGATGTTCCATAAAGTATCATTTTGTTAATAAGGTGGTAGGATGTCATGACCCTGCTTTGCATGGTCTCCACGAGTACATTATGGCCAGCGGAAAGTCCGTGCTACAAGTGACAGCACGAGATAATTGGGTCTAGTCGAGGAAGCGAGGGGAAGCCCGAGCTAGACTCGTGGTCAGTCGATCATGAGAAGTGAGAGAAGACGGTTGTAGTAATTGAAGATGCCGTTTTTTATGTCGCGCGAATGGTTAGTGTTGGAATATGTCGCGAGTGATAAAGTGTGAATAATGTTTGAACATGTGAAATAAATGGACCAGAATAAACTGACAGAATGTACAAAGAAGCGGAGCGGCGTTTGTGTTTTTAACTCTAGACGTTAAAGCAGTGCAAGTTTGTAGCAGTAAACATCCAGAGAGTGAGCCGTGGCGAAAGTCAATATGTAGTGAGCCAAGGTTATTCCAAGTCAAGCCAAGGTTTATTACAAGTGTGAACACAGTTCGAGTAGCCAAAGATAAAACATTGTAATGAAATATAGGCAGAAAGGGGTTAAATGAACAAGCATACATTTCAGACCACCACACGGCGTACTAATCCATCACTGTGTGAAATTACAGAAATAGGTGATTAGAAAGCCATGGCCTAGCCAGCTATGCAGAACACACCGCCATGACATCTGACAGTGAGGGATGAAACATTCGACGAGTGCCCGTGAACTGTGACCAGCTGATGAGATACCTTCATCCAGACGTGACCACCAAAGACAGGTGACAGAGAAGTGATGGAGAAGGTACGCCAAAAAAGAGCGGGAAAGCGGGGGAATAAAGTTAGTCCCGAAACCGCTGGAGAGGACAGTTAGTCCCGGACTGCTTGAGAGACCAGTTGAGAAAACTAGTGCTGTACTTCGTTAGAAGGTATATGTTAAACTTGGAGTTTAGCTAGAACAGTGAGTTAGTCCCGGAACCGCTGGAGAAGTTAGTTAGTCCCGGAACCGCTGGAGAGGACGGTTAGCCCCGGAACCGTCATGAGAAGACAGTTAGGGCTAGACCGCTAGAGAAACCGGTTAGGAGAAAACTAGTGCGTTACTTCGTTAGAAGGTATATGTTAAACTTGGAGTTTAGCTAGAACAGTGAGTTAGCCCCGGGACCGCTTGATAGGACAGGTTAGGGCTGAACCGCTGGAAAGACCGGTTAGGAGAAAACTAGTGCTTTACTTCGTTTAGAAGGTATATGTTAAACTTGGAGTTTAGCCAGAACAGTGGTTAAGGAACTCGTAGAGGCATACGAATAGCCAGTAATAAGGAGTGTTCATATACTATTGCTTATTGAATTTATGAAATGTGTGTGACGAGAATATTATGAATAAACCAGCTCTTATGTAATTGATTACATCACTGGCCTTGTTCTTGAGTACGATTGAAGAGAGATACGAACTATATTCATTCCACTTGGCCGACTTAGGCACATCTATTTCTTGGGGGATGTATAGGCACGACTGTTCCACAAGTGTGAGGATATTTGGTGCCGTGACCAACGACAGTCTTGTTTACATCGACATCTTTAACAGTCAAGACTGCTGTAACAAAATACCAAATAAGCTACCGCAACAAAACGTGAACTAAAAGCACGTTGATGATAGTACCTGCTGAGAAAAAAAAAATTCGACAAACCCTTCATCAGATTGGAGAGACGTAAACCAGACCAACAGCCTGCACCACCTTTTGGAGCAAACCGTCTACACTAGAATCAGGGGGGACACGCCCGTTCTAGCCCGGAGCAAACCGTCTACACTAGAATCAGGGGGACACGCCCGTTCTAGTCTGGAGCCATAATATAAACTTTTCCTAACTTTACACACTCGGAAGACTATAGGAAAGTCAAGAACTGTGAGCTGTCCGATTTTACAAATAGGAACTGCAAAAGTAGCGCGATTTTAAAGAACCTTGAACATTAACATTAATTAGTTTAAATATATTGTGATTTTCAATTTACAGTGGTGTAGGGAAAACATTTCTTATCTTTCTCTACCTTTCCTATTAACTTAGAAAATAATTCCAGGACAGTGCCGATTTTTAATTACAGTGTGTTGTGAAAAGAGAATTTTTTTTTCAGACCGCACTCAACAAGGTAATTTGACATTTTCTGTTTTTTCAATTTTAATTTACTTGCATTAGTTAATTTCCCATATTTTTTTTAAATGGCAGAACAGGGAACAGTAGAAGCCCAGTTCAGCAGAGTTTTAGGAGAAGTCAGCAAGGCTGTCTCCAGATTAGATTGTAGCGTTCGGAGACAGGGAATAACAGGGGTTATTGAACCTTTCAGGGGAGACACAAACAAGTTTAAAAAGTGGGTAAACGAGATAGAAAAGTATGCTTTCCTTTCAGGTGCGACAAGTTTCGACATCAAACGTTTAGCATACCAGATGAGTTCTTCCCCGGTTTCAGAACACATAAGAAGAAGATTAGAGCAGAATGAAGAAGAAACATGGGAAGAACTGAAAAGAGATTTAGCACAAAATTTCAGCGACGTCACA